TCTGCTGGTAGGTTAGGAGCGGACACTTTAAATTTACCGTTTTCTTGACGATGGAAAACCTTAGAAGGATGGACTGCAACAAGCCACAATGTAGGACTGAGAACTTGAGATGCTTCTTCATCCACACTTATAAACCAATGGAACCGCCTACCTGCCGGAACCCTATATTCCAAAACTCTGTTGAACTTCAAAATCCAGCTGGAAAAAAAAACAAATCAGGACAAATGGGGGACCTTTGACAAGCCGCCTGCTTCCTGTCCTTGTGTCCTTCCTGTCCTTGTCGAGGCCACTAATGTATTAAAGCCATCAGGTAAAATCGCAAACACGCCTAGATATTTAAGTGGGTTAAAACAAATAAAAAACACTTGTGCATAAAGTAAGTGGAAACGGACGAATGCTGAAAACGCAAATGCATTTTCGAAATGTCGTACAAATTGCACCCTCTTTAGGTGCTCAACATTTGCAATGAACTGAAAGTTGTGGAAGCCGCCTTCATACACAAAATAAAAGGGACGTTGTGACACAAGATTCTAACACCAGGAAGGTTCAATTATAACCTACTAGTAGTAGACTAGTAGGCGGGGAATAAAGTGCTAGACCACAGTTCCACATTATTACTGTAAGGCAAACACTTAAGTGCACGCATGTACGAGAGCACGTGCACGCACACAAATGAGCACATACAAATTGTAAACAGCCCGGCTAGCTCAGTCGGTAGAGCACGAGACTCTTAATCTCGGGGTCGTGGGTTCGAGCCCCACGTTGGGCGTATACTTTATGCAGATGAAAACCAAATCTTATGCCAGAAGCATTAACAAAAATAGCTTGTAGCACTTGGCAAACTTGGATCTAATGGATAAGGTTCTGGTAGCGTCTACTCCCAAAGCTCGGCCTTGGACCAGGCTCGACTCCTGAGAGTTTGAGCCAACAGGCTGTTGCTTGGAGCAGCCCCCAGTCCCACATATCCACTGCAGCTCGGTTGGTCAGGCACTTCTTGCAAAAAAGTGCCCAGTAGTGTTTTCTTGAAGATCCCACTATAGTTCCAGTAATATTGTATATAATAATATACAATATTATTATATACATAATAATATATTTATAATATAGTCATATACTTGCTAGGAAAATAATGAACAACCGTGGACCTGATGTTCATAAAGTGGGTGCTGATTATGTCAACGCTTTTCACCGGCTAAATTCTGCATTTCCTTCCATATCGTTCACTCCAATGTTATTTTACTGTATAAAATTGGGACCTAGTCTTCCAGTACCTTCCATGCAAGAATTATTTGAGGCTTTTCTTCTTTCTAGAGAGCTCGTTTTTTGAGCTTTGAGACAATTCCAACATGTAGTTTGAACAAATTGGACGAAGGAGCTTATTCCTTTATACAACGAACGTGAGAGCACTCTTTAATATGCAGTCCAAGTATGAAGCCGTCGGCCGAGAAATTTAAGTTAGTTTAGTTAATTTATTATGCACCCCATACCCATCCTGTGGGCGGTAATGGAATAGCTTACAGATGCATAAAGATTAAGAATCGGACTCTAAAAATAGATATACAAGCAAGTTTCAGTCTTGATAAACTAATCGCCGACCACAAGTATAGTTTCTCAGCGAAACAACTTGCATATATGGAAAGCTAGTATCACAATTCGGTTTGCATGTAAATTGTCATCCACACTTCCGTGGAAATAAACATTCCATTCCCCTTGGTTGTATGGGTCTCGAACCGTGGACACCCACGCGTGCATATGCACATCCTCCGCCCCTACGCATCCAGTGGGCAGAGGTTGATAGGTTACAATCACCAACAATTACTATCTACATTTTGGTAATTTTGTTACAAAAATGTCTGGTAGTAGATAATTTTGAATGAAATATTTACACATTCCTTGAAATAAACCCATCTCATCGCATTCCATTACAGTGACGGAGAATTTGCGAATAATTTTGTTGACACTTTACATTTGATCAGGTCTACATCAGCAGGCAGTGCAAATTCTCGGAGATACTTACAACAGTCTGCCGAACAGTAGTAACATCTAGGAGTCTGCCGAGCAGTAGTAACATCTAGGAGTCTGCCGATTTAATTGAATGATCGATAGATGTGTTGCACTTTTTGCAATTATAGTATGATAACATTTCTAACGTAGATTACACTTTGCCTGCGATCTATGAAGTTTTGTTGAAGCTCTGTATTATTGATCGAATGTTGCTGATAAGCAATCTACTGATTGAAGTTGTGGAAGCCGCCTCCATCCACATACATAAAGCAAATGTCGAAAAAAATTATAACACCAAGTTATTTTATATTCCAATAGATATAACAAGGTTATTCGGTAGGGAATAAAATGCTAGACCTTACGAGTTGTCACTGTAAATTTAACATTGATTGTAAAGTACATAGATGCACGCATCTACGAGAGCACGTGCACGCACACAAACATGCACATACTTAATTGAACACAAGCCCGGCTAGCTCAGTCGGTAGAGCACGAGACTCTTAATCTCGGGGTCGTGGGTTCGAGCCCCACGTTGGGCGTATCTTTATACATGTAGACATGGGGTAATTCTAATGGCATTATCTTAGCTTTGATGTCCAAAGTTGTTGGAAAGGATGGCGGGACGGTGAAACTCGTGGAAGAGGATCTGGATGTGAAGAGAGAAGACTTGAAAGTTCGGTGGCCTTTCCACCTTGGGTTGGAAATGTGTTTTCGGTCATGGCTGAGTTTTTCTTAAGCGGCAGGAGGCTAGTGGTGAGGGTTTACGGGCTCACCATAGCCCGTGCTACATGGACACTTCGTTCTGAGTAGCTAAATCTGAAACAACAAACATAGTGGTGAGGCGGGTAGGTGTTGTCCTGGTTCAGTTGAGGTGCGCTGTCTGACTTGGAAGAGGCGTCTTCCCCTATTGAGTTGGTGCGAGTTAATATCACTATTTCTTAGTAGTGCCTTGGCAGGCAGGTGTTCGCATATACTGTCCAACTGCCAGCAATGGTATCGGGGTTCCTTTGTGGTCTTCGTAATCGTCGGTGAATGTCCTATCTCGAAGTCGAAAATCGGGTCGATGTACTCCCTCTTCAGAACGGAGAGGTCCACAAATTCTTCAACGGTCTTGTAGTGGACTGTTACGGGGTGAGGAAATTATGGGTTGTTTTGGTGAGGTCGATGATTCGGTTGCATTCTAGGGCCAGGACTATTTTGGTTCTGCTGTTGCCGGTGAAAGTGTTGCCTTCTCTCTTTTGGAGGAAGAAGCCCCAATAGGGTTTACGCTTCACACTTCACTACTTAAAAGATTTGCACAGCTACAGAAAACTAGGTTTTCAGGGAATACAACAAACTGTTTTGCGAGCACTTGCCGCGAGTTGAATGTAGTTTATGAGAACAAATACGGACCCGACCACCTTCGTTCGACGTTTCCTGTTGGTTCATAGTCATAATATACGGTTATAAAGTCGCAGTACTTATTAAAGCAGCTAACTGGTATATGTCAAAGCTCATTTCAGCAAGTAATTTATGAGACTAGTTAAGGTAATGAGCAACTGGGGTGGGTGTTGCCCCGATATATAACCGCCCTTCCACAGAACCCAATAAATCTCTGCTGCAGACCAGCTACAGGACATCTACTTACATCTATAATTATTTTGGTTAGCCCTGATACCGTTTTTTTGCGAGGGTCGAGAGTTTAAAATGTTGACTCTGCGTAATTGTTGAGAGACTCGTGGGTTCGATCCCTCCTCCCAGTGTTGTGGCGGTCAGTCTGGCGACGGTCGTGTCTGCTGTGGTCTTGTGGAACGGCTGCCAAGAAATATTTCCCCTGGCTTAATATCTACAAAATATTTTCTTTAATTATACACAATAAATTAAATGGACAGAAGTCAATTTATTTTATTAGGTATCATAAAACTTATGCAAATTTTTGGTGAATCGTAATTATTAATTCGATTTTTTTTATTTATTTTTAACATGCAAACAAAAACAAGACATTCGTACAGAAAAAAACAAAAACAAGACAATGAAAAATAAACAATAGCACAAAGCCACAGGCCTGAAGGGCCGACAAAACAATAACATAAGAACATGACACGCACAAAAGTAATCTGTAACACAACAGGACACACACACGACGCAAAGAGGACAGACCAAGGCAAAAAGGGCCACACGGAAAATACATAACTAATACAGACACGCATACAGTACCCGAACACACTGGAACCGGGGAGTACAGCACACAAACACACATACAGACACACATAGAAAACACCGGCACACACAGGAGCCAGGAACAAAAACAAAAAAACACAGTAGAACAGTTAAAACAAAGACACACTACCACAGGCCGAGGGGCCCACAACAAACCAACCCGTCCTTGACTCAAGTCCATTACATCCAGCGGTCAACCCCACAGACGCATTCATAAATTTTAACATGCTGTTTATTCAAAACGGGAATTTTCGCAAGTATAAATTAATATTATAATATATTAGCATATTGTGTATATATAGGCATAGGATAGGTTAGGTGTTTAGGTTCTGTTGGCGATTATTTGTATTTGTAGTACGTGGGTGAAGCATTTATCAACCCGTCCTCGACTCAAGTCCATTACATCCAGCGGTCGACCCCACAGACGCATTCATAAATTTTAATATGCTGTTTATTCAAAACGGGAATTTTCTCAAGTATAAATTAATATTATAATATATTAGCATATATAGGCATAGGTTAGGTCAGGTGTTTAGGTTCTGTTGGCGATTATTTGCATTTGTAGTACGTGGGTGAAGCATTTACAGCGTTGTGGTTCGAACAAAATTGGTCAGTGAAGCACTTGTTCCGGATATGTTCGAACGTCAGCAGTTGTGAGTCGTGTGTAAACCGCTTTTCATTCATAAACAGGGGATTTGGCGGGTGCATGGAATCACTTTTGGATCTTTGTTTGGAGGACGGGCTGGGATGTAATGCACTTGATTTGAGGACGGGTTAAACGCACAGCCTAGAACCGAGACAGACTAGGGTACCATTTCCGTTAATTTCTGATCCCCATCTCTGTACCAAACTACGCCATGAAACGAATAATCACCACGTCAACTATTTCGAACGGCGGGTCGTAGACAGCCACATATGTAAACAACCTGTTGACATTTCTAACAATGACAACCGAGAATCGCTGCATATACGCAGTCAGTCTTAAACTTCAACACCACTGAAGGATTCCGTAACATCTGGATACCAACAAGATACCGCCCATGCATACATGCAGCAAGCTGAACAGTCGTAGTAACCACGAGAGCGTAATCTGCCGGCTGTCAAAATTCCAAACCGGCAGTTAATCTTCTTCACAGTAGCAGGAAGAGCCCCCATAGCTACCTCCACACCACCCGACACCAGCACGGCACAACAACTGGAAAACACCAAGCTGGTAGGTAACAAGAGGAAGGCAGCAGGCTGCTGGCTCATACAAGGCAGGTCCCGTTTAAATCTACCTTCTTCTCACCTTTTCTGTTTTGGGGTGAGTGGGGGTGTGAGATGAGAACGCCGTGTCTTTAGTGGTGGCGGCGGCACAAGAAGTGGCTTACAATCTGTGTGATATACAAAACCCCCGGGGCCAGGCAAGCCTATCTATGTTTTGTTATGCCCCGCATAAGCTACGGTCTTCCAAGGCAGTGCATGCAGTTTTTGTATACTATTGTATAATATGAAGCCAAAATGTATACAAATAATATTTATTATACTGTATAATTTAAAGTATAAATGCTTGGGATTTGTTGGGAATTATTTGTTTTGAAGAGCATGTAGTGTGATGATCAGATATGGGAATGAAGAGCATTTATGCTTGCTAATAGGAGTCGGTCATCTATTCCTGTATCTATTTAACAAAGTTTTCAGAATAAGTAATAGGAAAATGAGACATGTGTAGAAGCATTAGTAACCACATTAAATGTTAATCGGCTTCTGCAGTTACCTTTATCCATATGTTCTTAAATGTTTGTTATTGGGAAATCTTGTTGGAGGGCCCATCGGACAGGTTATGAACGGAAATTTAAATAGTGCAAATTTAACTAAGTTCATCTTCCATTGAAGGCTGATAACTCCTATTTCTTCCAGACACTGAAGAAACGTCTAATTAAAGTGATTTACTGGTGTTGATTTTAATCAGTCCAGCACGGTAGGAAAAAAATGGCAGATATTCGCAAGCAATTAGAGTTGTCTGAGACTCGACTGCCGAGTCCTGGCGACAAGAATATGAACACTATGAAGAGTAATGAACCTGGGTTAGAGAACTGGGCGGACTTCAAGTCAATTCTTTGGCCTGAGTCTGCATTCCCAGGTGAGGGTCAGTATGTTACTGTTTGAATATTAGATGAAATTATTCGATTAAGTTCTGTTTTTGTTAGCAAGGTTCAGTGTGGAGTATATATTAATCTCGTGTATGCAGATGAAACATGTGACTCCCAGCAGCCCACTGGCGCGTCCCCTGATGGTTCTCTGAGGCACACATTCCAGGTCTGCCTTGACGCCCTGGCGCTCGCTGACCAGGCCTACAGTGGATCGTTTGTGTCGAATCCCGATAAGAATGTCGGCAGATATAATAGTGGTTGGTGTCATTTACTGTTGAAATGAAAATTGAATGAGTCGTATATATTTTGAAGGATCATGTATGCAGGAACATTTGTTTTTACTCATTGTTCTGCATCAACTTGAAAGCAGTTTTTCCTCACTGTCAAATTTGAAGAAAATGTAATCTCCCATTTTTCTGTCTAGTTGTTCACGTTTCAATTTATAGTTTTGAAATTCGGATAACTGTAAATATTTTGGCGTGTGAATTATTTTGATTATTGGTATTCCTTTATTAAACAGAAAAACGTCGTTATAGAATCTTGTCCTGATAAAAAAAATTTCTGCAGATACACTTTCAGTAGACGAAACATCAAATTCCAGCCCCGAGGTCAAGAACTCTAACCAAATTAACACTGCCGGTGTCGAGCATTCAACCAGTCCTCCTCTCCTCACTAGCGAACCAATTACAGTCGTCCAAGAGAATGATTTATCCTCTTATTTTGCAAGCTGGAATGACCAATTCGATGCAGAGTCGCCATGTTTTAACTCTCATGACAGGTTGGTGCCAACGTTGTACTCGGAGCTCTCAGAATTTCTACATTTTGGGAAGCAATCTGCTGAGATCTCTGAAGATAAGCAGCCTGGGCGTCCTGAGCACCAAGCAGCTGAGCTTCAGCTAAATTACCAGCCTGATTTTCACGAAGAATATCCCACGCCGTTGAGCATTCCCTGCACCTACAGTAGCGAGATGATGTATACTGATATTGGGAAGAGAAGCAAAGCTGGCAAAATGAAGACTGTCAAAGTAAACGAACATCAGGTTCCATATAATCTATTTAGTAAAAGTCACGTCACCTGTCTATCGTGTGGTGTCGTATTGTCTTCGACAGGGCACTTACGGAGGCATCTAGCTTCCCATGGTGCAAACTTGTCATTTTCATGTACCGTTTGTGACTGCTCCTTCAGTCGAAATAATAATCTGAGGAAGCATTTCTTACATGCTCATGGAATACAGTTAAAAAAGATGCAGAGGAGGCCATGACTGTTGCCTGTGGGGATGAACTCCAGTTGCCTATAACAAGAGTCCCACTTGTACAACTATTCCTTAATGCAACGGTGATACACTTGAAGCTGAATATTGATTCAAGCTTTGTCACTTTGATTTAAACCTATAAACTATTTTGTGTGAAATCATATTTTTCTGATTTTTTTAATTTGAGTAATTTTACATATTTGTATATATATTGTCAAAAATATGGTGCTATTTTTGTTTAGTGTTTCTGCACTAAATTTCGATGTCGATCACAAGATAATCTTCCAAAATACAGAGAAGTGCAAACATATTTTAATAAGTTAAACTTATGCACGTGAAAGAGCGTTTACAGAAAATATTGTAAATGTTATTCACTTTGTATATTTTAACGCCTTTGTGACACAAAGATGTGCTTGTATTTGAGTTAATGCTTTTATCATAAAATATTTCGGTAATAAACTGGCAAATTTTAAAACGGATCGTCATTCTTCCTATCGGTACTGAGCGTATTATAAACATTAGTTATAATTAGGCAGCAAGCCTGAAAGTATATTGGCAACGTCTTTGATATAGGATATTCAAAAGGTCCTAAATATCTCTAGATGCCAATACAGCGCAAAATTACATACGAGGAACAACATCAAAGTTATTTGATTCACTAAGGATCTTAACTTGAAGGGACATACCAAGTTTTCCTTTTCCATTCTGAACAAAACAAAAATCGGGATATTTTATGAGATGCACAACTTTAAGCAGGACGAGCAGCTCGGACAAATAAGTGTAGGGTGTTGATAAGTGTAGTTCCAGTAAGTGCTCAAACGTTCAGAGCTTGTGGCCAATATGCTTCAAATAGCAGAGCTATTTCTCATCTCCTATTAAAGTAGCGGAAGGAAGACCACTGGAAAGAAGTAGCATATAATACTTTACGGTTAACCTATAATCCCAGACGGGTGTGGAATGGATTATGAATAACTGGGTAGAAACCCGAGAAAGGAATCCCTCTGAGAAACGGGACAGGTATGAACGACCTACTTAGCAGCTGCAATTTCATTAGACATAACACAGGGTCGAGTACCCCTACAAAATTAGCTTGTACATTTTGTAGTACAAAAATCACTACACTACATCCCAAGATTACCAAGCGAGTGCCGGCGGGGGGGGGGGGGGGGAATGTTTTCAGTAATATACATATAGGGGTGTGAGTTTTCAGTTATATATATCGGATATATTATATAATATATCTGATATATATATATATATATATATATATATATATATATATATATAAATGATTACTTAAAATATATTACTATTAATTAAAATATATATTACTATTAAAAAATTGTGCTCAAGATATTTAGTAGGTAAATAATACCTAATAAAAAATTAAAAAATATCATTATTTAATATAAATATTAACATTGTTGTTTAAAATATTATTATTTAATGTTATTTTTTAAAATATACATTAATTAGGATCATTTAATATATATGAGTGTAGTTGGATATAAATAGGCGCTGTATTGTATTTCAGTAAACTTTATTTCTTTGTTGTGAGGGTAAAATACAGAGATTAGATAATAGAAACTACACAATTGTTGGCTCTTTGGAGAAACAATAATAAGCAAAAAGTATATACATATATAAAACATATATTATTAAATATGACCGAATTAAATTTTTCGGTCATATTTACTAATATATGTCTACAGGAAAGACTGTTACCAAAATATACTAATATATAAAACAATAAATATATACATACAAATGTGTGTAAATCACGAAAAATAAACGTGATTAAAAAAGTGACAGTGTCAGAACACGGAGGAAAATTGAAACATTCATATATTTGTATGACAATGTCAGACCACGGAGGAAAAATGAAACAGGAAATTTCCTTAAGTACTTTCGTATATTAAATACATCTTCAGAAGGTCACATACCTTCTGCTAAGAGCAGGTCACCTTCTGAAGATGTATTTAATATACGAAAGTACTTAAGGAAATTTCCTGTTTCATTTTTCCTCCGTGGTCTGACATTGTCACATTCTTAATCACGTGTTTATTTTCGTGATATACACACATATTTTGTATGTATGAAACATGTCATTCATACAAATATATACATATGAAACTATGCGAACAAGTTACCAGGAGCAACGCAACTGGTATGTACAGGACACCTTAATTCACTCGACCATCTCGACCGGACAAAAAGAGGTGCCGAAGCCGAATCTTTTCAAAATATGAAAATATATACATCAAGCAACCTTGTGTTCAGAAAAATGCTAACTAATAGACAAATGAAACATGTACAGATAATTTCACAATATTACTTTACCGGTTCCAAAAACCAACAAAATGCTAAATATTTTTTTGCGATCACACTGGTATCATTTTTGTTTCACATTGTGAAACTATGAAGTAAAGAATTAATGTGGTCACCATGGTCGGACTTAATGTGGTCACCATGGTCGGAATTAAAGTTATGACTATGGTCAGAATCATTGTTAGTCGAAATTAAAGTTGTCACCGTGGTCGGAATTAATGTTGTCACGTTGTTGTTGTTCAACACAAAAACTAATGGTGTTTTTTTTACAATCTTTAGCATATTAAAATAATTAATAAGAACTAATAGAAATTATTCGGTCAGAAAAAATGTCAGTACTATGGTATAAAAGTCAGAAATGGTCAGTAATAAAACCATGGTCAGAAATACTGTCATAACAATGGTTAGAAACAAACTCAGACCTAAAAGGCCACTCATTGGCTACATTAAGAAAGTTGAATCACTGGGAGCTGAAACTTCGATGAGTTTTTCTGCAGCTTATTTCACTTGGATTCAGGAGTTGCTGGATGGATGAGCACACCCGACATGCTTGCTCAGCTTCTCCCTCCGTGTAAAAGAACAGGTACAGTGGACACATTTGAAGTGTTTGTCGGCACCATGGGCCGATTGGTGCCTCTGCAGGTGTCCTTTCGAGGCCACTGAAACTCCGCAAGACGGACAGGAGACAGAATTTTCTGGCTTAAATAGAAGATATGGTAAAGGACGCCTGTCGGCTTTGCTCTTCCAGGCTTTGTCTGCACTCTTCTTCACTGTGTCCTTACTCTCCTTGACTTTGTCCACACTTTCCGCACTCTGGACTATGTCCACATGACTGGCTTGAGAGGAATTACCAATAACAACATTAATAGGCTCACTGATGAATGGAGAACAAACAGTAAACGACATGGAGGGTTGTATGGCATCGTAGGACTTTTGATTGTTTTTCTGTAAGAATGTTTGGCTGCATTCAGCAGGCTGGAAACTGGCAGCCTCTAAGACAGCGTAGGACTTCTCATTGGATTCCTCTGGTTCATCGATGGGCTGATTACTCGACTCCGGTCTCATATTCCCTAATATCTCGAAAAGGCCACGAGCTATAGCTGTATATAACCAAAAATAAATTTGTCAGTTTTAATAAAATGTAATTTTATAATATCTGATACTTTTGAATGCCTTTAGGCAGACTTGTAAAACAATAAATGAGACTTGAGGCGGGCTTAATAAAAAACTGATAAGTTTAATGGAAATGTGGTGAGTTAAGGAAGTGTCAAAAGGGAAATTACAAGGTTTTGGTAGAGGATATCATTGGGTTAGTTTAGAGACTTGATAATTAAATTCAGACTGAATTCTAGATTCAAATCGTAGGTGACTAAAGTCGCGTGAGAGTTGAAACGTCGTTCCACACTTGTTGCAACCCGTTCTCGCAAATTTAATAAGTCAATATTGACTTATTAGTTGCGTGCATAGGTGACATACTAAACACAATAGTTTCCCTTGAAAAGCTTCATAGAAAACACCGACCTTACCTAACCTATTTAGTATGTTAAAATAAGCATCTTATAGCTTCGTAATTACAATTGTTACGTAACCTATTATAGGTATAGGTTAGGTAATAATTGTAATTACGAAGCAATAAGATGCTAATCTTAACATACTAAGTAGGTTAGGTAAGGTCAGTGTTTTCTATGAAGCTTTTCAAGGGAAACTATTATGTTAAGTATGTCACCTATGCACATATTTAATAAGTCAATATTGACTTATTAAATTTGCGAGAACGGGTTGCTTAATCTAATGTGTCTAACGTTTCGTCTCGCACACGACTAATTCTGGTCCACGACGGACAGAAAAGTCGTCGTTTCTCCATTTTTTTATGTTATCGTGGAAATTTAAACTAAAGTCATAATATAAATCACTAGATCAAAATTAATGCACAATCATACTAACCCTCAGGCGGTGGCTCATACCTAGGAGCAAAGCATGATAGGAGGAGTCCTCTCAAGTCGATACTGTCCTGGATATTTTGGTCATTATTGCTGTCTCCTGTAGGGGTTTCCTCCTCCTTCATTAGGAAGTCATTGGATGGTTTCTCCGGCATCTCAGCCATGCTGAATAACTAATTATAAATCTTGTTCTGTTAGAAAATGTACTACGGTATCCATGTTGGAACAAACTATGTCTGACTCATTGGAACCTCATTCATATACCCGCGAGACTCCCACACCTCACTTGTAAATAGCATGGACATAAAATAATAGTGGAATCTGCAAAAGTCATAAGCAGCTGCAACTTACATACATAAGAATATGAGAATCAAAGAATCTTATATATTCGAACATATAAGAGATTTAGATTCAGGTTTGAGCAGCAATATCTGCAAATTTGCCGACGATACGAAAATCGGGAGAGAAATAAAAACGGAAGAAGACATTATAAGAACATAAAAACATAGGTAACTGCAGAAGGCCTATTGGCCCATACGAGGAAGCTCCTATCTATAACCACCCAATCCCACTCATATACTTGTCCAACCCACGCTTGAAACAATAGAGGGACTCCACCTCCACCACGTTACGCGGTAATTGGTTCCACAAATCAACAACCCTGTTACTGAACTAGTATTTACCCAAGTCTTTCCTAAATCTAAACTTATCCAATTTATACCCATTGTTTCGTGTTCTGTCTTGTGTTGATACTTTTAATACCCTATTAATATCTCCTTTGTTATGTGCATTCATCCACTTGTAAACCTCTATCATGTCACCCCTAACTCTTCGCCTTTCCAGTGAATGCAATTTATACTTTGTTAATCTTTCTTCATATGAAAGGGGAATTAACTTAGTCATCCTACGCTGTAGGATGACTAAGTCATTTATACCCATTGTTTCGTGTTCTGTCTTGTGTTGATACTTTTAATACCCGATTAATATCCCATTTTTTAAGGCAATTCATCCACTTGTATTTTTTTTATCAATACATGAGGTACATTTGCATTTGTGCAGCTACCCTAGACTATATGAAGTGGAGTACAGTGTGTCAAAAAGCTAACTACGTGATGCTAAAAAATCCCCATCACACAGGATGGTCAGTCATACAGAGGCATGTGATAGGCAGTCTGCACTGGCAGACTCCGGATGCATTTTGAGAATATCATCAACACAAGAGTGAATAAAGCAGCAGTGGTAATAAAATTCCTCATCCCGCACGATGGTCACCCATACAGGGTCATATGTTTAGTAGCATGCACTGGCAAATTTGGGGTACACTGTGAGGAGAATCTTCACCCTACCTCCCCATCTTCAAGAATACGAGTGAATAAAGTAATTGCAAAGCTCGAGGTACCTCATGCCAACTGGTCTGAAAGGTTTAATAACTGGGCATTCAGTGATGTAGTGTGGGAGATCATGCCACAGTTCCTGCTCACAGAGTTTGCACCTGGAGTGCTCAGGATTGGGAGATCCGTTCTTATGTTCTTATACCTATATAAGAACATAAGAACAAAGGTAACTGCAGAAAGCCTATTGGCCCACACGAGGCAGCTAGGGAAAGGATAGGTCCATTAAAAACTGAGATAGGTCAAATAACGGATAATGACGAGATGAGTAGTATTTTCACAAGACAGTACACGAAACAGTGGGTATAAATTGGATAAGTTTAGATTTAGGAAAGTGGATGAATGGCCATAACAAAGGGGATAATAATAGGGTATTAAAAGTATCAACACAAAACAGAACACGAAACAATGGGTATAAATTGGATAAGTTTAGATTTAGGAAAGACTTGGGTAAATACTGGTTCAGTAACAGGGTTGTTGATTTGTGGAACCAATTACCGCATAACGTGATGGAGGTGGAGTCCCTCGATTGTTTCAAACGTGGGTTGGACATGTATATGAGTGGGATTGGGTGGTTATAGATAGGAGCTGCCTCGTATGGGCCAATAGGCCTTCTGCAGTTACATAAGAACATAACAAAGAACAAAGGTAACTGCAGAAGGCCTATTGGCCCATACGAGGCAGCTCCTATTTATAACATAAGAACAAAGGTAACCACCCCATTGGTTTTGTCACATCTAGTTACCCCAGGATTTTTGTCACCTCTTCCACCGTAACTAGTCTGGTGACTTAGTATCAAAATCCACATTTATCCATTTGGGAATTTTATGTAAAGATTTACACCAAGTTTTTCGCACTCAGCTGAATGCTCCGCTAAGGTCTAAGTATGTAGTCTGGACCATATTTGCATCTCAACGACTAATCACGACTCAACAATTAGTCATCGAGATGCAAGACTCGTCCTAACCACACACTCAGACGTTGACAAAGCACCCAGGAGAGGGCGAAAGACTTGGTGTAAGTCTTGACATAAAATTCACAAATATACAAGTGTGGGTTTTAATCCTGTGTTATTATGTCAGTGAGAAGACATTACCATTTCTTAGTCCGGCAAGTATTATTAACTTGGTACGCACTTTTACCTTGGCTTGTATTGCTAGCTCGGCGAGTACTATGTGAATAGTTGTAAATATAATTTATTTAATAATAAAATAACAATAAGGATTATATTGCCCCAGGCAAGTCGTCTTTAACACTGCCGCTCACGTTCAAACTTCTCACACTGTACCAGGAGATATATTTCTGAAGTCTTTTTCCTCATTTTCGGCGCTCCCCCACCCCCCCCTCCTCCAGCGGTGGAGGCGTGGGGGAAAGGTTTATGTGGCGAGGACGTGATTGTGGTGTGGGCGTGTGCGTTGATGGATAGACAGGGTTATGAAAGGTGGGCGGCTCTCTGGGATTATTGTCTTGGTCTGGTTAAGTCTTAGGAGGCTGGGGAGGCACAGGTGTGCTTGCGCGCGCGCACACACACACACACACACACACATGTTGAGAGGCGGGACCAAAGAGCCAGAGCTCAACCCCCGCAAGCACAATTAGGTGAGTACAATTAGGTGAGTACACATAAGAACGACTCTGACATAAGAGAAATCGGTTTTGAGGACCCAGTAGGAATGAGCGACCACAGTGTATTGGTGTTTGAGTCCCTGATTGAAGAAGGGTTATTGAACTCGAGGAGGGATACCGAAACCAAAAGGTTAGCATACCGAAAGGAAAACTATGAGGAGATAAGAAAATTCTTAAAAGATATAACATGGGAAACAGAGCTCAGGGAAAAGACGGCCCAAGATATGATGGACTACAATCACGCAAAAGTGCAAGGACGCAGCAAACAAGTTTGTCCCAGCCCAAAAGGGAAACAGTGAAATGAAAATGAGAAACCCATGGTTTAATCAGAGATGTAGGCTAGCTAAGCAGCAAAGTAAAAGGGCATGGAGAAACTATAGGAATAACAGGACACTGGAGAGCAGAGAAAGATACCAGAATGCCAGGAATGAATATGTCAGGATGAGAAGAGAGGCAGAAAGACAGTACGAAAACGACATCGCAAGCAAGGCAAAGACTCAGCCTAAATTGCTGCATAGCCACATCAGGAGAAAAACAACAGTAAAGGAACAGGTTATGAAATTAAGGATAGGGGTAGAAGGATTCACTACAAACGACAAGGAAGTGTGAGGAACTGAATAAGAAATTCCAAGAGGTCTTCACCTTAGAGCAAGGAGAAATCCCAGAGATAAGAGAGGGAATAGCTAACCAGGAACCACTGGAAGAGTTTGAGATTACCAGTGGGGAAGTAAGGAAGTGTTTACTACGGTTCATGGAGCTCTGTACTCGGATCTATCCTGTTTCTGATATACGTAAATGATCTCCCAGAGAGTATTGACTCATTCCTCTCAATGTTTGCTGACGACGCCAAAATTATGAGGATTAAGACAGGAGGACAGCTTGAGGCTTCAAAAAGATCTGAACATGCTGCAAAAATGGTCGAATAAATGGTTGTTAGAGTTTAACCCAAGCAAATGCAATGTAATGAAGATAGGTGTAGGGAGCAAGAGACCAGTTGCAAGGTATTATTTGGGAGATGAAATACTTCAAGAGTCTGAGAGAGAGAAAGACCTGGGTTTTGATATCACGCCAGACCTGTCTCCTGAAGCTCAAATCAAGAGGATAACATCAGCGGTATATGCCAGGTTGGCTATCATAAGAACGGCCTTTAAAAACTTGTGTACGGAATCTTTAAGAACTTTGTATATCACATGTCCTGGACCATACTCCAGACCAATCCTGGAGTATGCGGTTCCAGCTTGGAGTCCATATCTAGTCAAGCATAAGACTACACTGGAAAAGGTTCAAAGGTTGCCACCAGACTAGTACCCGAACTGAGGGGTATGAGCTACGAGGAGAGACTACGGGAATTAAACCTCACTTCACTGGGAGACAGAAGAGTTAGAGGAGACATGATCACCACATACAAGATTCTCAGAGGAATTGATAGGGTAGATAATGACAGGCTAGGTGAAAATTGAGTGCCTAAATGAGCCATAGAGATGTTTGAAAGAATTTTTTGAGTGTCAGAGTAGAAGACAAATTGAATGCATTAGGAAGTGATGTGGGGGAGGCTGACTCATACACAGCTTCAAGTGTAGATACGATAGAGCCCAGTAGGCTCAGGAACCTGTACATTAGTTGATTGACTGTTGCGAGGCGGGACCAAAGAGCCAGAGCTCAATCCCCGCATGCACAATTAGGTAAGTACACACATACACACACCCTTAGCGGATAGAGTTTGTGATCGTAGTTCTAAGGGCCTGAGTTCAATTTCTAGTCGAGGCAGAAACAAATGGGCAAAGTTTCTTTCTTTCGTCTTCGGGCTGCGTGCAGCCCCTCCTCCAAACAAAGACCCAAAGTCCATTCCATGCACCCGCCAAACCCCCTGTATATGAATGAAAAACGATTTACAGACGACTCACAACTGATGGCGTCCGAATACTTCCGGTACAAGTGCTTCACTGACGAATTTTGTTCGAACCACAACGTTATAAATGCTTCACCCACGTACTACAAATACAAATAATAGCCAACAGAATCTAAGCACCTGACCTAAGCTATGCCTATATATGCACAATATGCTAATATATAGTAATATTAATTTATATTTGAGAAAAGTTCTTTGAATGAACAGAATGTTAAAAATATTGAATTAATCTTTGTGGTTGACCGCTGGAGAAAATGGACTTGGTCCGAGGACGGGTTGCAAATACAACCCATTCTCGCATACACAGATCCAAGCTCTTTAATCCAGCCGCCAAACCCCCTGTTTATGAATGAAAAGCTGTTTACACACGACTCACAACTGATGACGTCCGAACACTTCCGGAATAAGTGCTTCGCTCACGTCCTCTGTTCGAACCACAATTCTATAAATGCTTCACCCACGTACAACAAATACAAATAATTACCAACAGAATCTAAACACCTAACCTAACCTAACCTAACCTAACCTAACCTAACCTAACCTATGCCAAACTATACATACAATTTTTATGTATAAGAACATTAATTTATATATGAGAACAAACCAATTTTTAATACACAATATTTTAAAATTGATGAATGCGTCAGGGGAGGACGGCCACTGCTTTAAACAGCCTGGTGTGAGATCTGGCTGACAAATACAAATAATCGAACAGAACTAACCTAACCAATGCCTATATATGCACAATATGCCAATATATTATATTATGAATTTATATTTGAAAAAAATCCCGTTTTGAATGAACAGCATATAAATTTTTTTTGAATGCGTCTGTGGGGTCGACCGCTGGATGTAATGCACTTGAGTCGAGGACGGGTTACTGCACGAGCGACTGTCAAGGCTGCACGCGTTTGATTGCTACTCTAGCGAGTGGGTTAATTTCTGGATGTCAACATATTTGAGATAGTCAAGCTTAGTGTGAGTTGACGAAACTGTGTCCTGCCACGAGAAAAGATTTAGTCAAATTGACAGAAGTGAAGTAGACGAGGAACTAACGCCACAGGATGGAGGTGAAGTAGATGACGTTCATTTTGGGTCGTCTACAAGGATAATGACCCAACAGTGAAGCGGCCATTGGTACCGTCTGTGAAAAATTCCTACGCATTCTCTGCACCTGTGGACGTGTGTTCGAAGGTGTTATAGCTGCTCGCCCATCAGTGGAGATAGAGAAGACTTTATGCATGGTTGCAGGAAGTGGGGCAACGAAGTTAATCAACGGTTAAGTTTCAGTTCTCCCATTAGGTATGTCAGTGAAAGGAACGTTGGTTAAAGAGTATGTTAGCGTTTTGGGTCGAGAGATTACGCAATGAGGTATTTGTGCAGATAGGGGAAACAGGTGTTGTGTAGTGTGGAAGAGTGATGGGAAGAGGAGAGGCGAACAGTGTGGAAAGCGATGGGAAATAAGAGATTGCACAGATCACTCAGAAAACACACCACACACTTGGTCCGGGAGACATCTCCCGTCACGCAGGGTGCAGTTGCACTTCCACAGATCTCCAGTATCAGCTCTTGATACTGGTAATGGCTCAAAAGGGCCACCACTTACGGGCTATTCATGCCCGTGCCACCTTTTGGATGGTTTAATCGTCATCTTGGACACATTCATGGGAGACATCTCCCGTCACGCAGAGTGCACTTGCACCTCCACAGATCTCCAGTATCAGCTCTTGATACTGGTGATGGCTCGAAAGGGCCACCACTTACGAGCTATTCATGCCCGTGCCACCTTTTGGGTGGCTTCATCTTCATCTTCATCTGTTTAAAACACGGGAGACATCTCCCGTCACGCTGGGTGCAGTCGCACCTCCACAGATCTCCAGTATCATCTATTGATACTGGTGATGGCTCAAAAGGGCCACCACTTACCAATTCATGCCCGTGCCACCTATTGGGTGGCTTCATCTTCATCTTAACACATTCACAAGGGAGACATCTCCCATCATGCAGGGTGCATTCGCACCTCCACAGATCTCCAGTATCAGCTCTTGATACTAGTAATGGCTTAAAAAGGCCACCACTTACGGGCTATTCATGCCCGTGCCACCTTTTGGGTGGCTTAATCTTCATCATCACTCAGAAAAGGACACATGGCGTTGGTGTTGACGTGCTGTTAATCAACCAGTTCTCTTACAAACTGCATGTGAATTTGGCCGTTTGCCCGTATGGACGTAATTTGAAAATGGAAAAAAATGGAAAATAAATTTTCGATTTTTCCCTAAACAGCAAGTTAAGGGTCCTCAGGTTGGTTAGTAGGGCAGGAAGATCTTCTAAGGTTTCAAAAAGTCATGAAAACCGTTAATTGTAAGTTTCATCGCCTAATCTAACCGGGTAAGCCTGAGGACTCCAAACAGAAAACGGGACAGTATGTCAATTTCGTGGGATGTAATTTAAAACGAAATCGGCTGTTTTTGGCTATAGCGCACATAAGGGCGACAAGCTACGTAATTAAGAGGACGGGTTGGTTAGAAAGAAGGTAGAGAATCGAAGAAATTGAACAGAATAAGGCGCTTCACTTCACCATATGCCCTTCATATCCGAACTATGTAAATCTCGTTCATAACCTTCGTCCGCTTGTTGTAAAACTCACGTTTTGACCAATTAACACTTTGTAGTAATCTGTTTCCCACTGTTCCTCCTGCTTCCAATACTACTGGTGCCTACTCTTATTTCATGTTCGGCTTTTCCACTCCAATACTAATGGTGAAACTGGCTGTATACTAAATGACAGACTTAATTATTATTATTATTAACATCTTTATTGACAAAATTAATTACAATTTTGCCTAATCTGAGGATTTTGATAGTCTTATTAAATTGAGGTTAATGCTAGTATTCACTGTCACGCAGGACAGAGGGTCAGAGGGTCATACAGACTTAATGAACTCAAAAGTGTTAAACAATACTCTCTTCTGTCGTAGGAGGGGGACGGACGTGGGCGTCGGTCCCATCAAGGTCGAGACCGTCATGGTCTGGTCTCAAATCGTAGTCGGCACTACTGGAGCCGGTCGGCCGAGCGGACAGCACGCTGGACTTGTGATCCTGTGGTCCTGGGTTCGATCCCAGGCGCCGGCGAGAAACAATGGGCAGAGTTTCTTTCATCCTATGCCCCTGTTACCTAGCAGTAAAATAGGTACCTGGGTGTTAGTCAGCTGTCACGGGCTGCTTCCTGGGGGTGGAGGCTTGGTCGAGGACCGGGCCGCGGGGACACTAAAAAGCCCCGAAATCATCTCAAGATAACCCACCAGTAGTGCCGATTACGTCAAGAGAAGCTTGTAGGGCCGACAGGCGTCCATCACCATAATACACTCTTTAAACCATAGAACTGTGGACCTGGAGCGTCCGAGTGGTCTCTATAGGTCACTTGGCGAGGCATGAAATAGTGTATAGTGCCAAGCAACGCCGTCGCTGCTCCCTCTGTGAGTGTGCCTTTAATCAGGGGCAGAAACTGAGCATCCAACTAACACGTGCTCGCGGAAAAATACCCGAGACATAAGCGCCAACAAATCTGATGATTGTTGAACGTTTTATGATCAGCCGATATTTGTATCTTATTGTAGTTCTGTACCATGTTTCACTTTTATTTTGTTTAGCATTTCTCGGTACAGTATAATTAGTTTGTCTGCTTAGTTTCACATTGTGTGAATAATTAGCATTTTAGTAATTGTTTAAGGTCAAATAGCCAGCTAGTGTGTAATGTTTTATCTTACTCTCATAACAAAAAGAGAGATTAAAACTTTAAAACATAACAAAACTGAGACTATTTATATCTAACTAAACTCATTCGTATGTATAGACAATTAAAGCCCCCTATACAACACATCCTGATTGCATTGGAAGCAATGCGAGAAACCTTGACTTGGATTCAGTGTAAGCTTCAGGACCCCGTAGAGGATTCAGTGAAATACCTGGTTACACTGATTTTGACCATGTCGTGGTGTAGTGGTCTAGGGCGTGTGCATGAGAATACCAAGTGTACGGGTTCGAATCATCCTCATGGCCCAACTGACTTTCAATTTTGAATCGACATCACAATTCCTTGTTACGTCACCCATCGCCAGGTTCACGTGTTCCAAAACCAATTCACCTCCCATGTTCAGGTTTGTCCAATCTTTCCTTTAAGAAATTTCTTAGTTCATTAAAATGAGCATTTTGGATATCTGGCACCTTAACTGAATTTCCTCTTGCACGTCTATTCCACTTCTTTATATCTTCACCGTTTTAAATACTGAGAAGAGACAACATATTCTCCAAGTTGCTCGCCGTGTTGGAGATCATCTTGTAGTTGGTGAAGCTTCTGGATATTATGAAGCATGATTGGTTGACGTTCAACATGGTCGCCATATTTGAGTTGTTTTCATGAACGGGTCATCAGAGCACGGCTGCTTGCTGCTCGGGCCGCTGACCTGTGGGGGGGACTCGTCTGCTTGGTGGTCTTGTTGCTGACCACTCGAAGCTGCGTTATTAACGTTATTAACGAGCCATTCCCCCCCCCCCCCACTAAGTATCAGCTGGGACTAATGGATGACTGTAGCTGACATTGACTGGAGAAACGACAGATGTGCCGTCAGTTAAGCTGGCTACACAGTTGGCTTTAGGAGATCCTTCTTTCTCGCCGAGTCACACATCTACAAGTAAAAATAAAATATTTAAGTTGAGAGATTCATGACCGCGCTCCATAGAACCCAGCAAATCTCTGTTGCAGACCAGCTACACGACATCTACTTACCTCTATAAGTATCTTGGGTACCCCGGATACCGTTGTTTTTTTTACGGGTCGTGAGTCCAATATGTGGCCATGCAAGTACTTTGGATAACTGTCGAGAGACTTGTGGGTTCGAGCCCTCCTCCCAGTGTTGTGGTGGTCAGTCTAGTAACGGGCGTGTCTGCTGTGGTCTCGTGGAACGGCTGCCAAAAAATATTTCCCCTAGCTTACTATCTACACCATTTTTTCACTTTGTTGTCTCTTTTGATTTATTATTTATATTATTAATGATTCGTTATTATTGAGTTAGTATGCATCATTTTGGTTACTTCTGATTAAGGGATGTATGTTTGTATACAACTAATAATGTTTCCCATATAGCTCAACTATTCGTGGGAACAGCTCGCATATTTAAAATTATACTCACTTTTCCATTATTTGCCCTGTCTGAGTTTTCAATGGCTCGGCCTTTTCCCTATTTTTTTTACATATCTGAAAAGTTCATTTAGGAGGACCAAAGCACACTCCACAAGATGAAGAAAAAACGGCGACGTTATGGGCCGTTCTGGACCATTATCAAGTCGTATGTGACGTGATAGCAGTCCAGGACAGACCGAAATGTCGTCGTTTCATCATCTTATGGTGTGAGGTTTGGTCATCATATCTCCAGTCACGTTATTGTGACTCATCGTCTGCGCCTCTTCTTAGACCTGTCTTTGCCTGCTCTGCTATACATACTTCGTATTGTCTTTTTCTGTTTTTTTTTTTTTTTTTAATTTGTCTAAATGATTTGGTATAGTTGTTCTAAACTCATTTGCTCATTCTTAATTCTTTAGTACAAACTTAATTTTTTCCAAATATGGTTCTTTCATCCCATGATTGTCGATTTGGGGTCGTCGTTGTTCGACCTATTTACTCTATACGACATACTACGTTCCAGGGCTTTACTGAGAATATATTTTTTAAGTTGTTACATCAATTTACAATGTAACCCCCTGTCGTGTCACCCAAGGCTTGGTCCCACATCCCGTCCCGTGGATACCCCCACATCCCCGGTGAAGTAGTGTAGTGCTACGCTCCGGTCACGTTCATTAATCCCTCAAAATCAACTTGAAGGAAATCTGGCAGCCTATCTGAGTGTCTCATACACAGCTGATCCCCGCTGGTAAGTCGGATTTCCTTGTGATCACCGTTTTCTAGCTCGTCCCCTATTTCTGTGTTATTTGTCTCCCTGTTAATTAACATAGAATATTTTCATTGTGTTGGCTCTTTTATATGTTGTTTAAGGAAGCAGTAGTAGTTATACATTAGTTCTAAAAATCTTGCGCCTCATTATTTCATCGTTTTGGTAGTCTTAATTTATTCGACTAAAATTAGTCACCCATAATACAAAGTCTTTGACCTAGACTCTTCATTCCACAAATGATTTGCTTTCAATTTGTCGAGGTTAGGTGGCCTGAATATAACTCATTAGACAATTACTTTTCATTTGATCGTAAACAATTATTTTCTGTGTGGCTCAGTTTTGATTCTTTTTTACTCATTTTAAATTTTCTCTACAGATATTACCATTCCCTCTTCTCGATATATTACCATTCCCTCTTCTCGATATATTACCACTCACTCTTGTCCAATATATCTGTGAAATAGTTTGAATTCTTTGTATCTGGTAACCACGTAATAGTTGACTTTTAACACATTTTTTCACGTTCCAGTGCACCAATATATAATGTTTATGCGCACACAAGCACTTAATTCGTTTTCATGTTAAAAAGTCAACTGTTTTTTGTGTTAAGGGTGATAGTTTGAGGCGCGTCTCCGCCCTTGATATTTTTACCCATACATTATCTTCACCAACATACGCTGTTATTATGCTCATTCACAAAATCCATTCATATTCACGTAACAGTTTAAACATAAATAACTACCTCCAAACAAATATTCCAACGGATTTGCAAAATTAACAACCCTAACCCTAGATTAACGAACACCATCCCGACCATCTTGAGATTATCTTGAGATGATTTCGGGGCTTTAGTGTCCCCGCGGCCCGGTCCTCGACCAGGCCTCCACCCCCAGGAAGCAGCCCGTGACAGCTGACTAACACCCAGGTACCTATTTTACTGCTAGGTAACAGGTAACACCATACACAAGCTTCCTAAAACAGTGTTTTCCCAGTAATTAAATGAACGATAAATGCATTTGATTTTAAATATTTGTATAGTGGCAATTGACTCCAATTGTCTGCCTCAACATGTATTACAAGCTTCCATATTCTTTTTAACTTTATTCACATGGAAGGATTCAAACTGTGAATACTTTTGTTATCCTTATGGGAGTGGAACTGACCTCAGAGAGCCTTCAAACGTTATTCTCGGTAAGAATAGGCATATAGTTGCAATAGTAACTTTACATGTCTAATTTTCCGTTTCTTTCTATGTATCATGAGGCGGTTGGTGGCTGTTGGAGCCTGACTAGGTGACCGCGCTGAACCTTCACTGGCTCCAGTGTCATCGTTGACATTTAAAAATATATACTACTGCGTGAGTATATACAATTACATAGTTATTTTGAAAACGAGGAGTCACAATAACGTGGCTGAAATATGTTAATCAAACCACACACTAGAAAGTGAAGGGACGACGACGTTTCGGTCCGTCCTGGACTATTCTCACAACCGACTTGAGAATGGTCCAGGACGGACCTTCACTTTTTAGTGTGTAGTTTAGTCAACTTATTTTGAGAAATTACACTTAAGCATTAGTGTGCCCTGTCATTGATTTCTAGTGTGTAAACAGAGGCGAGCGTGTGTATTTGGGACCATTTTTGGGGAACAATTTATTAAAATAAGAAGCGTGTTCTAGTTTAAAAGTATAGTTCTATTGTAGGAATTGTTAAGTTGTTTGGCAATGTTAATGCTGAACAACAATTAAATACAGTTCATGTATAGGGCGCATCCGATGTCTCCATTTGTATAGAATATATTTCTTGTACTTGGTCTTTGAATGTAATCTCCTAGTATAAGTTGGGGGAATTTCTTTAGCCCTCTAATATGCCCATTTTTCAATGCGCATGTTAGAGCCCAGGCTGGTTAAAGCTACAGTTCTTCCGTAAAGACACATGCACTAGTTTTAATGTATTAAAATTAGGTTTCTCTTTTATTTATTAATTTTAATATGGTAAAGTTCAGTATTGTTAGGCATAGGATAGGATGGCTTAGGTGATCTGGTTCTGTTGGCAATTATTTGTATTTGAGGTGAGTGGTTGAAGATCAAAATATAACTGATTTAAAAATATTACAACATTGTGATTCAGGTCGTACGCGAAGCACTGTTAAATCTGAAATAAGATTTAGCATAGAATGGCATAGATTTGTTGGAGAAAATTCCGTTAAAGTGCCAGATTTTAGAAAAGCTTAATTATTGGCGTAAGAAATTGTTTGGGTATAATAAATTGGGATGTCCTGGGCATGGGAGGAGGGGTGGTCCTTGAGCAAGACGTGAACCCAGCGATGGGTGATGTAATACGGGATTTCGATGTGAATTCAAAATATAACTAATTTAAAAATATTCTAAGCAAAGCACAGGAACATAGTATACCATACAAATTGAATATAGAATAATAAAGACCCAAAATGGATAACAAAGGATATGAAGAACCTTATAGGTAGGAAGAGAGCTTGGTACAAAAGGATTAAGAATGGTGAAGTTGGTTTAGAACAATAATTCGTACAACTGGTTACATATATTAAAAAAAAGGAGATAAGGAGGGCAAAAGGAAACTGAAGGTCGCATAGCAGGGCAAGCAAAGACCATTCCTAAAGGATTTTTTCAGTTATATCGAACAAAGATTAGGGAAAGGATAAGTCCATTAAAACTGAAACAGGTCAGATAACTGATAATGACGGAGATGAGTAATTTTTAGTAAATATTTTCATTGAATTTACTGAGGAGGAACATAACATTATGCCTTCAGCCGAACAAGTCAGAGGGTGGGGAAGAGGACAGGTTAACTAGTTTAGCAGTCACCAGGGATGATGTTATTAAACCAATAGTGAAACTCAAGCCAAACAAATACCCAGGGCCGGACGAAGTGTTTGCCAGGGTGCTTAAGGAATGCAAAGACGAGCTTTGCGAGCCATTGTCTACCATATTTAATAAATCATTAGTCAAGCAGAGTGCCAGAGTCTTGGAAGGTTGCTAATGTGGTATCACTTATAAAGAAAGGCGATAGATCACTTGCGTCAAACTGTCGGCCAATTAGCATAACGTCTAGTGTGGGAAAGTTGACCAGACCACACACTAGAAGGTGAAGGGACGACGACTTTTCGGTCCGTCCTGGACCATTCTCAATCGACTTGAAAATGGTCCAGGACGGACCGAAAAGTCGACGTCCCTTCACCTTCTAGTGTGTGGTCTGGTCAACATTCTTCAGCCACGTTATTGTGACTCATCGCCTGCATATTTGTGAGAAGATACTTGTGGAATTCCCGGTTGCAATTTTTATGACCATGTTGTGGCCTAGTCGACTAAGGCAGCGTCTGGGATCATCCCGGGCGTAAGTTTGAAACCTCATCACGGCCCTTCTAGATGTGTTCATTTGATGCATCACGTTATTGGGATTTCTGTGTATCCCAAATACTAGTTCGGCAACAGGGATGTTGATTTGTGGAACAAATTACTGCGTAACATAATAGAAGTAGGATCCCTTGACTGTTCCAAGCGTAGGTTAGACATACATATTAATAAGATTGAGGGGATATGAATTGTTGCTGCCTAGTATGGGCCAATAGGCCTTCTGCAGTTACTTTTAATCTTATGTTCTTATTTTCTTTTCATCCCCGAGCCATCTTTTGGGTGGCTTAATCTTGATCAATCAAGTCATGCATAGTTTGTCCTCTCCCACACAATAGTAGAATTTTTAACAGAACAAGATTTGTAAATACTCATTCAGGATGGCAGAGATGCAGGAGGACGAGGAAACCCCTACAGGAGCCAGCAATAATGATGACATATTTGACGATTGCGACTCGCAGGAACTGGCATGCATTGGTCCTAAGAATGATCCCACATCTGAAGGTTAGTATGAATGTGCATTTATTTTTTGGCTTTGGTACCCATTGTTTCGTGTTTTGTCCTGAGTTGATACTTTTAATACCCTAATAATATCTCCTTTGTCCATTCATCTACTTCTATACATATCATGTCACCCATAATTCTTCGCCTTTCTAGTGAATGTAATTTAAATTTGCGCTTCAATTATACCACCTAATTATTTACAATAAGAATTTAGTTTAAATTTCCATGATGACAAAAAGCTGGAGAAACTACGACATTTCGGTCCGTCCTCGACCAATATAAAGTTGTGTTACCCGGCAATATGTTCCCTATTTCTAAACCTACCTAGTTCTTAACAGAATCTAAATTAATCAGATTTATAGCCACAATCTCGTGTCCAATATTAAGAACATAAGAACAAAGGCAACTGCAGAAGGCCTATTGGCCCATACGAGGCAGCTCCTATTTATAACCACCCAATCCCACTCATATACTTGTCCAACCCGCGCTTGAAACAATCGAGGGACCCCACCTCCAGCACGTTACGCGGTAATTGGTTCCACAAATCAACAACCCTGTTACTGAACCAGTATTTACCCAAGTCTTTCCTAAATCTAAACTTATCCAATTTATACCCATTTTGTGCTAACATATTTCATTGCCATCCCTTAATTTGTAATAATGCCGTTCTTTTCGGCATTATTGTAGAAAAGTTCCCGCCCTGACGATATGCATATCCCTAGACACCTTATTGACTCTGAATTCCCAGGTTACTTTTATCACCACTGTCTGGCACACCTGAGGTCCCAGAGGCTGCCGCTCGCTTGTCCTGCATTCGTGAGACCCGACCTGTGTCCAAAAAATACCCCTGTTGAATGCCAGCATTGGCACTGGTGGTCTTCCACATGTTGCGACTGGTGTTCGGGATCTCAAGGACTGCCAATGAGGATAGTAGGTATATCCTCGAGGCCCAGAGCTTTTCTATCCTCAAGGTTGACTCCTTCACTGCCCCCCCCCTCCTCTGGGACGTTGTCTTTGTTGTGTTAAGATTACTTTTTAAGGTAGTAACCTTCCATCGTTCTTGCAAGTGCCCGGTCCTAGAGTGCATCCCCCTCAACACGCCTCTGCAATAGGTGTTGAAAATTTGGTCATGGTTTTTCCAGATGCAGCAGCGAGGTGTCTCTTTGTCACTTGGGTGGTGTAAGGGCATTCACGTACGTGCAGCGAGTCTCGATGCTTAAAGTGCAGGGAAGCCCACCCTGCACAGAGACCGTCCTCGCCCTGAAGCATCGCCGCCATGTTTCTATCCCAGAGGCTTGACGCCAGGTCCGCCGCTTTAACACTTTAACATCATTTATGCTCGTGCGTTGCATCACACTACTCATCCCCACGTTTCTTCCCTTTCTCAGTTCCGCAACAGTTTGCTAACTTCAAAGCCCGATAACCACCAGTAGCATCACTACTGGCACGCCAGTGTATAGGTCAGAAACACTGACCGAGAAACGGAAACCCGGTTTCTCTCTCTCCTGCGGTTAAGAAGGCTTCCGTCTATCCCAAAATGTTCTCTCTCTCTCTCTCTCTGCGCCTCTCCTCTCGTATCCCGGTAGCTAGACTCGGCTGATCTAGCCATAAAAGTTAATGTAGCTCTTGATTCTGCCGACCATCTGGTCACCATTTGGTCCGGGAGACATCTCCCGTCACGCAGGGTGCAGTCGCACCTCCACAGATCTCCAGTATCATCTATTGATACTGGTGATGGCTCAAAAGGGTCACCACTTACGAGCTATTCATGCCTGTGCCACCTTTTGGGTGGCTTCATCTTCATCTTAACACATTCACAAAGAAGACATCTCCCGTCATGGAGGGTGCATTCGCACCTCCACAGATCTCCAGTATCAGCTTTTGATACTGGGAATGGCTCAAAAGGGCCACCACTTACGGGCTATTCATGCCCGTGCCACCATTTGGGTGGCTTAATCTTCATCAATCAATCAATCTTGATTCTGCCGACCATCTGGTCACCATTTGGTCCGGGAGACATCTCCCGTCACGCAGGGTGCAGTCGCACCTCCACAGATCTCCAGTATCAGCTTTTGATACTGGTAATGGCTTAAAAGGGCCACCACTTACGGGCTATTCATGCCCGTGCCACCTATTGGGTGGCTTAATCTTCATCAATCAATCTTGATTCTGCCTATGGTACTATTCCTGATGCAGTGCTCTGTGTCATTGGTTGTTCACCCGCCCTCCCTTGCCCGGTACCGCGTCACTCTCAAGCTCCCTCTACTCTCCTTCATGCTCTCCACTAAGACATTTTTTATATACAAAATATATAATATTTTATAATATAAATATATAATATATATATATAATATATATATATATTTTTGATATTTTTTCCATTGATTTCCATAGCTCCATTAAAAAAATTACATGGATTTTTGTTTATTTGAATGTTAATATTGAAATATTTTTTTCTTGTAGATGTGAAAGTTGTCAGCGAGAAAGAAAGATCTCCTAAAGCCGATTGTGTAGTCAACCTAAATGACGGCGCGTCTGTCGTTTCTCCAGTCAATGCCAACAACAGTCATCCATCTGTCCCAGCTGATACTCAGCATGGGAAAGGGCTCGTTTCTAACGTTAATAACGCAGCTTCGAGTGGTCAGCCACAACGTCAGCAGCAAGAACACCAAGCTGACGAGTCCCCACAAGGTCAGCGGCCTGAGCAACAAGCAGTCGACCTCTCTGATGATCCATTCAAGAAAAACATTCAACTCAAATATGTTGAACAGCCCGAACACCAACCAATCATGCTCCAGAATGTCCAGAAGCCTCATTACCTACAAGATGATCTCCAACACGGCGAGCAACTTGGAGAACTTGTCTTTTCTCCGCATTTAAAACAGAGTAAAGAAATGAAGAAACATAAGCCAAAGCACAAAGCGAACACCAGATCCCCATACGAAAGGCCCTCTCGAGGAAGTAGGTCAGATTTAAATTATCGTCTTCGTGATCCAAAATCTACTGATTCTAATGCATATTCTAATTGTGTTCTGCCTACAAACTCCAGACGTGCAGTTCGTGAGTTACGATCATTACTTCCACCGCCTTCTAATGATTCTCCAAACGATTTAACGAGTTCATCTAATGATTCTGCACTGCCAAATACAAGGGAAAATTCATTTAATAGGACTTCCAACTCCCTTCACAAACTTCAAACTGGGACTACTAGGAACTATGTTAATATCCTGGAACAGCAACAAGAGGAAAATTTGCCGAGCGCCTCGACTGTCCAGCCCAGCGCCCCTATTCTGCAAAACAGTTCCGTGCACAAGCTTGAAAATGCGTCTGCTCGGTCTAAGGCCTGCAAAAGGAAAATAAAACAACAAAGTCTCTCTAGCCCGGACTACATCGTGGGCTGTCAAAGGTGTGGTGTTCCATATACAAACATAGGACATCTTCCGAATAACACAAGGTCCCAAGGAGCTAATAAAAAATATCGGTGTGCCAAGTGTGATTATACATTCAAGCAGGTCAACATTGACAATCATAATCTACTAGTTCATGAGCCACCCATCATTAGTGACGTCAACTTGGCACGGCAAGGAGAGACTGACTTGGCAAACACGTCGACGCCCGGGGCCAGCGTGTCGACGCCCGGGGCCAGCGTGTCGACGCCCGGGGCCAGCGTGTCGACGCCCGGGGCCAGCGTGTCGACGCCCGGGGCCAGCGTGTCGACGCCCGGGGCCAGCGTGTCGACGCCCGGGGCCAGCGTGTCGACGCCCGGGGCCAGCGTGTCGACGCCCGGGGCCAGCATCTCGGTAAACGGGCAAGGCACTTCATCTGCTCCTCTACCGTCTCGGGAAAATGTTCTCTCTAACTATAATGGAAAAGCAGCACGTAAAAAATCATTTGACCCGCTCTTCAAGGTGGACTGTCAACTGTGTAGTATTACATGCGCCCACAAAGGAATGCTCAAGAATCATATGAAAGCCCATGGTGCTAATAGGGATTATAGTTGCTCCCTGTGTGATTGTTCTTTCAATAAGGAACGCAACCTTGTGAATCATAATTTACGCGCTCATAAGACATCGATGCCAGGTAAAAATACCCCGGCACCGCAACGAGGGGAAGACTTGCAAAGCACGTCAACATCTCTGCCTAGAGAGCAGCCTATTCAACGAAGCACCTCTGGAAACTTGGGTGATGCTTCACCATATACTATGGCAGATGTTTCATTTAAAGCCGAAACGAACAAAACGTTTTCCTACAAGGTGAACTGTCCAAAGTGTGGTAGTAAATTTGCAAACGGAGGACACCTTACGAATCACATGAAATCTCATGGTGCTAATGAAAGATACGAGTGCTCCGTGTGCGACTGTGTCTTCAAGGAGAAAAAGTTCCTTGAAAACCACATAAAACGCTCTCATGAAGCACAGATGAAGCCCAGTAATTACTTGGAAGAGCAACAAAAGGAAAACGTGCCGAGCAACGTGGCGCCACCGCCTAGTAGCTTGGCTCCGCCTAGCAGCTGCCCGGCTCCGGCGCCTAGAAGCTGCCCGGCTCCGGCGCCTAGAAGCTGCCCGGCTCCGGCGCCTAGAAGCTGCCCGGCTCCGGCGCCTAGAAGCTGCCCGGCTCCGGCGCCTAGAAGCTGCCCGGCTCCGGCGCCTAGAAGCTGCCCGGCTCCGGCGCCTAGAAGCTGCCCGGCTCCGGCGCCTAGAAGCTGCCCGGCTCCGGCGCCTAGAAGCTGCCCGGCTCCGGCGCCTAGAAGCTGCCCGGCTCCGGCGCCTAGAAGCTGCCCGGCTCCGGCGCCTAGAAGCTGCCCGGCTCCGGCGCCTAGAAGCTGCCCGGCTCCGGCGCCTAGAAGCTGCCCGGTTCCGCCGCCTAGAAGCTGCCCGGTTCCGCCGCCTAGAAGCTGCCCGGTTCCGCCGCCTAGAAGCTGCCCGGTTCCGCCGCCTAGAAGCTGCCCGGTTCCGCCGCCTAGAAGCTGCCCGGTTCCGCCGCCTAGAAGCTGCCCGGCTCCGCCGCCTAGTAGCTTGGCTCCACCTAGCAGCAGCCCGGCTTCGCCGCCTAGCAGCAGCCCGGCTTCGCCGCCTAGCAGCAGCCCGGCTTCGCCGCCTAGCAGCAGCCCGGCTCCGCCGCCTAGTAGCTGCCCGGCTCCGCCGCCTAGTAGCTGCCCGGCTCCGCCGCCTAGTAGCTTGGCTCCACCTAGCAGCAGCCCGGCTCCACCGCCTAGAAGCTGCCCGGCTCCGCCGCCTAGTAGCTTGGCTCCACCTAGCAGTTGCCCGGCTCCGCCGCCTAGCAGCTGCCCGGCTCCGCCCAAGAGAATGGCGGCTCCGCCGCCTAGCAGCCGGGCTCCGCCGCCTAGCAGCCGGGCTCCGCCGCCTAGCAGCCGGGCTCCGCCGTCTAGCAGCCGGGCTCCGCCGCCTAGCAGCCGGGCTCCGCCGCCTAGCAGCCGGGCTCCGCCGCCTAGCAGCCGGGCTCCGCCGCCTAGCAGCCGGGCTCCGCCGCCTAGCAGCCGGGCTCCGCCGCCTAGCAGCCGGGCTCCGCCGCCTAGCAGCCGGGCTCCGCCGCCTAGCAGCCGGGCTCCGCCGCCTAGCAGCCGGGCTCCACCGAATATGAGTGCGGCTCTACTGCCTTGCAGCTCTGATCCAGCCAACAGGCGCGCGGCTGCACCGCCGAGCAGCTCAACTGCACCCACCAGAAGCGCGGCTGGTAAGGATTATGGTGCTAGTAAGGGTTATAGTTGTTCCCTGTGTAATTGTTCTTTCAATAAATTAGTCAACCTTGTGACGCATAATTTACTCATTCATAAGGCATCGATACCCAGTAAAAATACCCCGGCACCGAAACGAGAGGAAGACTTGCAAAGCACGTCTACACCTCGGCCTAGAAAGCAGCTTATTCAACCAAGCACCTCTGAAAACTTGGGTGATACTTCTCTATTTACTCAGGCAAATGTTTCAATTAAAGCCAAAACGAAAAAAACTTCCTGCAAGGTTAGCTGTCCAAAGTGTGGTATTACATTTGCAAACAGAGGATGCCTTAAGAATCACATTAAAAACCATGGTGCTAATAAAATATACAAGTGTTCCGTGTGCGACTGTTCTTTCAACGCGAAAATGTCCCTTAAAAATCACACACAACACGCTCATAGAGCACAGATGCAACACAATAATTACTTGGAAGAGCAACAAGAGGGAAACATGCCGAGGAACGTGGCTCCACCCCCTAGTAGCTCGGTTCCACCGCCTAGCAGCTCGGCTCCACCCCCTAGTAGCTCGGTTCCACCGCCTAGCAGCTCGGCTCCACCCCCTAGTAGCTCGGTTCCACCGCCTAGCAGCTCGCCTCCACCCCCTAGCAGCTCGGCTCCACCCCCTAGCAGCTCGGCTCCACCCCCTAGCAGCTCGGCTCCACCGCCTAGCAGTTCGGTTCCACCCCCTAGCAGCTCGGCTCCACCCCCTAGCAGCTCGGCTCCACCCCCTAGCAGCTCGGCTCCACCCCCGAGCAGCTCGGCTCCACCCCCGAGCAGCTCGGCTCCACCCCCGAGCAGCTCGGCTCCACCCCCGAGCAGCTCGGCTCCACCCCCGAGCAGCTCGGCTCCACCCCCGAGCAGCTCGGCTCCACCCCCGAGCAGCTCGGCTCCACCCCCGAGCAGCTCGGCTCCACCCCCGAGCAGCTCGGCTCCACCCCCGAGCAGCTCGGCTCCACCCCCGAGCAGCTCGGCTCCACCCCCGAGCAGCTCGGCTCCACCCCCGAGCAGCTCGGCTCCACCCCCGAGCAGCTCGGCTCCACCCCCGAGCAGCTCGGCTCCACCCCCGAGCAGCTCGGCTCCACCCCCGAGCAGCTCGGCTCCACCCCCGAGCAGCTCGGCTCCACCCCCGAGCAGCTCGGCTCCACCCCCGAGCAGCTCGGCTCCACCCCCGAGCAGCTCGGCTCCACCCCCGAGCAGCTCGGCTCCACCCCCGAGCAGCTCGGCTCCACCCCCGAGCAGCTCGGCTCCACCCCCGAGCAGCTCGGCTCCACCCCCGAGCAGCTCGGCTCCACCCCCGAGCAGCTCGGCTCCACCCCCGAGCAGCTCGGCTCCACCCCCGAGCAGCTCGGCTCCACCCCCGAGCTGCTCGGCTCCACCCCCGAGCTGCTCGGCTCCACCCCCGAGCTGCTCGGCTCCACCCCCGAGCTGCTCGGCTCCACCCCCGAGCTGCTCGGCTCCACCCCCGAGCTGCTCGGCTCCACCCCCGAGCTGCTCGGCTCCACCCCCGAGCTGCTCGGCTCCACCCCCGAGCTGCTCGGCTCCACCCCCGAGCTGCTCGGCTCCACCCCCGAGCTGCTCGGCTCCACCCCCGAGCAGCTCGGCTCCACCCCCGAGCAGCTCGGCTCCACCCCCGAGCAGCTCGGCTCCGCCCCCGAGCAGCTCGGCTCCGCCCCCGAGCAGCTCGGCTCCGCCCCCGAGCAGCTCGGCTCCGCCCCCGAGCAGCTCGGCTCCGCCCCCGAGCAGCTCGGCTCCGCCCCCGAGCAGCTCGGCTCCGCCCCCGAGCAGCTCGGCTCCGCCCCCGAGCAGCTCGGCTCCGCCCCCGAGCAGCTCGGCTCCGCCCCCGAGCAGCTCGGCTCCGCCCCCGAGCAGCTCGGCTCCGCCCCCGAGCAGCTCGGCTCCGCCCACCAGAAGCGTGGCTCCACCGCCGAGCAGCTCGGCTCTACCCACCAGGAGTGCAGCTCCACCCACCAGGAGTGCAGCTCCACCCACTATAAACAGGTGGAGGAGAGAGATGGGTTTTGACGGATGGGTGGATCCGGTTGTGCCTCAACGCAGACTCACGTGGTGGAGACATTGGGACGGCATAAGCTCGGCGGCTGCAGCGCCGAGCGGCGGGGCGGCTGCAGCGCCGAGCGGCGGGGCGGCTGCAGCGCCGAGCGGCGGGGCGGCTGCAGCGCCGAGCGGCGGGGCGGCTGCAGCGCCGAGCGGCGGGGCGGCTGCAGCGCCGAGCGGCGGGGCGGCTGCAGCGCCGAGCGGCGGGGCGGCTGCAGCGCCGAGCGGCGGGGCGGCTGCAGCGCCGAGCGGCGGGGCGGCTGCAGCGCCGAGCGGCAGGGCGGCTGCAGCGCCGAGCGGCGGGGCGGCTGCAGCGCCGAGCGGCGGGGCGGCTGCAGCGCCGAGCGGCGGGGCGGCTGCAGCGCCGAGCGGCGGGGCGGCTGCAGCGCCGAGCGGCGGGGCGGCTGCAGCGCCGAGCGGCGGGGGGCGGCAGGAAATATAATTCTGGCTTTACGGTCCAACGTTGTGGCTCCAGGATCAAACCAATCATCATGGTTCCCCGGTCCATCAGCGCTGGTCAACAGTCCATCGGCGCTGCTCCACTAACAAGCAGCGCAGTTTCTGAGCCCAGCACGTTTGAGCATATATATGAAATTTAGTTTTCTCTTCCGCTGTCCTCTGGCTAAGGACAGCGGATGGCTTAATTTATAGCAATAAATTTAAAGCAATAGCAGCATAACGAAGTAAATGTGTCAATAGATATTTTATCCCATACTGTAAATTCAGCGGCTATAGTATCGAATTGCAAGACATCCAATGTTGCTAGTAAAAGTTGTAAGGTCATACAGCATCGATATGAACCTCAGTATTGACATTCTGGGACAGCTGCAGCAGGAGGAAGACTTCTCACTCTTGGACTTAGAATTATTTTCTGGATTGACAATAGAAGTGGCTTGACCGTCTAACTTTACATAATTCTTCATTTTTTAAATGAATTGGTATTTGTTTTTATTTTGAATATGCTAACATGTATTTAGTTGCATGATTTTTAATTGTTTTATTTAAACCAGCATTTTTTTCAATTGGGATGCACTTTTCACGTTCAGTGAAATAATGCTTGAAAATCCTACCGTTGTTATCTGCTTAGTTGCTGCTGCATGATTGTAGTGCATATACTGAAATAAAAGTAATTAATGCAAATAATAAACTGCGAGTGTAATGTAAATTGAAAATAAAATTATGAAATCTGTGATTTGTTTTTTTTCATACGACATTTATAGACGTGCATCTTATAGAGAGATCTCCCACTCCATTTCTATTCTCACCGATGGGTCAAGTCTGCAGACGGTGTAGGCTACTCTGTTGTTTTTAATGACCACACCTATATGTGTCGCCTTCCTCCGGAGACTAGCATCTTCACGGCAGAACTTATGCTATTCTCTATGCTCTTCGTCTTCTGCTTTCTCGCTGTCAATCCTCCTTTTGTGGCTGTAGTTGACTCTTGCAGTGCCCTCGTGGCTCTGGAGCCCTTTAATCCAGTCCATCCGGTGGTAGTCGAGATATAACATTGACTGTTTCTTATCTCCAGTAGATTTAAGACAGTAGAGTTTTGCTGGGTTCCCAGCCATATTGGAGTTAATTTAAATGAGCGTGCAGACGCTGCTGCTAAGGAAGCTATCCGAACTTGTCTCATCTCCCGTAAAGGCATTCTCTATTTCGACTTTTACCTAGTTATTCATTCCTCCATTCTTGCCTGTTGGCAGGATTGTTGGTTTTCTGTTACTGGTAATAAATTGCGTATTCGTAAGAGTAGTGTGTCCCTGTGGCCTTCCTCCTACCACCGTAACCAGCGGTGGGAAACTGCTCTGGCAAGGTTGCGTATTGGCCATACACGCTTAACTCAAAAAAACTTAATGGAGCGCTGCCCTGCTCCTTATTATCCATACTGCATTGCCTCTGGGTACAGTCATGTATATCCTTGTTGAATGTCCTGACTTCCAGGACGAGCCTGTGTCTTGCTTTCCAACCGTCCCTCGCGGTCACTTGTCCCTTGATAAAATTCTTGGTGAATCGGATACTTTTTATATCGTTCGCCTCATGCGTTTCTGTTCTCATATTGGCATCCTTAGTGATATTTAGCGACCTCTGATTATTCCGCACATGATGGCACTATATAGCCTTCCCGGCTTGATGCCTTCTGTTGATGATTACTTATTTGTAAAGAATAGAATCTTAAATATTCTGTATTGTTAATCCATACAAAAATTATTTTTCTTCAGAATCTTCTTACGAAATTGCATGGATAAAGAGATGGGGGAAAGAAATAGGAGAAAACTGTTGCATATTTTGTGTTTTTATATAATTCAAACAGTCGAAAGGGCAGGGATGGAGACAATATAGATGGCACAGCTTATGATACTAAGCTTCACAAATCTCTTGTACCAGAATTAGAAGAAAACATGGTACTGGGTGTTATCCCAAGTTGGAATAAAGCTTAAGGCTTATTTCATAGCAAGCAGAGTTAACAAATGGAGCCAGGTCCGAGTGGGTGCCTCAGAGCTAGTAACTAGCTCCGAGGCACTAGGGACCAAGGCTCCGGATTATCTAGTAACCTGTTATTTACCATTTGTACAAACGACTAGATCAGAGTAAATGGTGGTGCCCAGGTTTCCCTCACACCCCCTCCTCTATCTCATTTGTATACACCCCTCACTATCTCCCCTTCCCCTACACACACCCTTAATGAATGACGTGGTAAGGAGTACTTGTGCTCTTGGCTGTGATGGGCACTTGTGCACCACCATCGGATAGTTGGGTGTGGCTCCTGCTTCCCTCTTCTGCTTGCTGTCACGGAGCACATGCAGGATACACCCTCGTATGTTTGCCATGAGTAGAAGTGCATTTTCTTATTGTTCCTTTATTTTGATGAACCTTCCCAGAGGCTGCAGCGTCTGGTGGGAGGCTCTGGGGAAAAATAGAAGGTTCAACTTAAGTCAATCGACTCGTCAAGTTAGACCTCAGGTCAAGTAAACTTTGCGGGGTTGGTATCCATATCGGACCTGAGATACCATTCAGATCCTTCAATGGTTGCTCCCGTATATTGTATCTATTTCTTATTGTTCCTGAGGTTGCTTATGCCTCCCTGTGTGTGGGTGCAGGGCAGGAAAGTCCAGTTTCCGGTTCATTTCACGTTATCCTTCCCAATCACATCCCTTCTTTTGGGGTGGGTGTGGGCGACTGGACAGTCCTCCCGTGATCTTGGATCTCGAGCCAAGCCCCCGGACGCGTCAGCTAAGCACCTCGTCCCTACAGCCAAGCACCCAAACTCAACTAAGTTTGTTACATACTCTTGAAAATTTCGTTTGCTCCTGAAGTGTTTCTGGTTAATCTTGTTTACTACATAGGAAAAACCATCAACGTTGCCTTTGTAACCCGAGCTACAAAGTGAACTGTCAACTGTGTGGCGTTTCATTAACAAACTAAGAAAATCTTGCGAATCACACTAGGTCCCATGGAGCTAATGAAAGTAAGTAATTATCAATAGAAGGCACCAAACCGGGAAGGCTGTGTGGAGCTAATGAAAGATATCCATGTACCAAGTGAGATTGTCAATGTTGACGTGCTTGAATGAATAATCTACTCGCTAATGAGCCACCCATCAGTGATGTCACCTTGGCACAGAAAGAAGAAAAACTTAACATGCCGACGCCTGGACCAAGCACCTCTGTATACAGGCACGGCCCTATCTGCTGCTCTGCCGTCTCAGGAAAGTGTACACCAAGTATAAAGTTAAAGAAACACTTTAAATACCATTTTACCCGTGCATCAAATGTGAACTGTCCACCGTGTAGTAGTACACGAACCAACAAAAGGTATCTCACGAATCACATGAAATCCCGTGGTGCTAAAAAGGATTATAGTTGCTCCCTGTGCGATTGTTCTTTCAACAGGGAAGTCAACTTTTTAAAACAATTTACGCGCTCAAGGAATCGATGCCTAGGTAAAGTATCTTTGACAGCAACAGTAGGAAGATTTGCTAATGAATGCGATGCCTCAGTCCAGTGGTTTTGTGGGTACATGTGAAATTTAGTTTACTCCCCACTGTCTCGGGATAAGGTTCTCTTTAGCTGCCGGACGAAAAAAAAAAATGCAATATGGGTTAAAGCATATTTGAAAAGTCATCTGTCCACTGAATGGCATTTCATTTTCAATCAAAAGAACGTCTTATGAATTAATCTCATGGTGGTAATAAGATAGGTGTTACATGTGCAATTTTTCTTGCACCCGGAAGGCTCGCATTGACGAACATGATTTTCACTGGCACAAGGCATCAAAGACTTAAAATGTTATGGAGCAGCACAAACAGGAATTCTTCCTTCTGTTGAACCTGAATTATTAATTTCTTTTCAGACTAACTCTTGACCATATCGCTTTCTATCCTTTACCATTTAGTATAAATATGTATTTTAGGTTAATTATTGCGTTTTAATAAGTTTTTGTAGTTTTGAATTTGTGTTTATTTGTTTAATGGTATAATGCTTGACATTAAAAAAATTAAAGCCACTATATATCCAATAAAAGTATAATTTAGTATAATTTTGCCAATATTAAAACTAAAATTTATTAAGTTTTATACCAAAGTCAAAACCGATTATAGCTAAAACCTAAGCTGCATTAAAATTAACAAGAGCGACTAGATTTTAGTCATGATAATCCAGGAGCTACCGGGAAGAATGTTGCCCTTCTGGTTGCCTGGGACGTCGTCTAGGCTCATGGGAAAACATTGGTAACCCATGCATCAATGACCTATGAAACCTTAAAGAAACTTTCTTAGGGAAAACGGAACCGCACTTTTTGCAGGTAAAGTGATCTCTAGCGACTTTAGGTTTCTTATCGCCTTTGGATTTCTTATCGCCTTTGGATTTCTTATCGCCTTTGGATTCCTTATCGCCTTTGGATTCCTTATCGCCTTTGGATTCCTTATCGCCTTTGGATTTCTTTTTTCCTTTCTTCAGGAAGACAGGATGCCCAACAAGGGATTCCAAGATAGGAACCTGGCGAGCCGGGGCCACAAGAGGATGAGGAAGATCCCATGCGCTGTTCAGCAGAAACGGCCGCCTGAAGTTCGCGGCCGTTCTCGTCAAGAGGGAGGGAGAAAGTGAGTAATCAGGTTCGTCCAGTGAAGATTCTAAAGTCCCGTAGTTGAACATATACTCCAATTCGTCAAGAATGCCAAGATATGGACGATTTATGTTAGACGGTCGCGGATCGCCTATGTTCCGTTGGAGGAAGCTAGGCAAGAGACCATTAGAGGATTCACTAGAATTCTCTGCCGGTTGGGGACGGGTTTGTTCATGGCGGGTCTCTGAAGAGAACATATTCTCCAATTCGTCAAAAAAGCGAGGACGTGGACGACTTATGTTAGACGGTGGCGGATCGCCTATGTTCCGTTCGAGGAAGCTAGGCAAGAGACCATTAGAGGATTCACTAGAATTCTCTGCCGGTTGGGGACGGGTTTGTTCATGGCGGGTCTCTGAAGAGAACATATTCTCCAATTCGTCAAAAAAGCGAGGACGTGGACGACTTATGTTAGACGGTGGCGGATCGCCTATGTTCCGTTCGAGGAAGCTAGGGAAGAGACCATTATAGGTATCACTAGAATCCTCTGCCTGTTGGGGAGGGGTTTGTTCATGGCGGGTCTCTGAAGAGAACATATTCTCCCATTCGTCAAGAATGTCTTCAAGTGGACGACTTGTGTTAAACGGTGGCGGATCGTCTATGTCCTGTTGGAGGAAGCTAGGCAAGAGACCATTATAGGATTCACTAGGATCCTCTGCCGGTTGGTGACGGGTCTGTTCACCAGAGTGGGTCCCGGTAGGCCGGAGCTCGCCTTCATTCACGGGACGGAACATATTCTCCAATTCGTCAAAAAAGCCAAGACGTGGACGACTTATGTTAGACGGTGGCGGATCGCCTATGTTCCGTTCGAGGAAACTAGACAAGACACCATTATAGGTATAACTAGGATCCTCTGCCGGTTGGCGACGGGTCTGTTCATGGCGGGTCTCGGAAGGCCGGAGTCTACCTTCACTTGACGGAGGATATGACCACCTTCCAACCACTACTTCGTCAAAAGAAGCAAACGTTTGCATTGTAGCGTCTCTATTTGTAAATTCTACAGTCTTATCTAATGACGAAGCCCGTAAAGAAGGTTCTCTCTGACTAACTGTATTCTTTTCCTCTTCTTCCTCTTCTGGAACGAGAGTACAGGTAGAGCTGGCATCTGAAACACAAAAAATATGAATTATAATCGCCTGGAAATTATTTCTACACTTTATGTAACATCGGCAGAATGCAGTCAAATATATTTAAAACTAAATAACCATAATTTTTTTTTTACAAAACCACGCTAACAGTTACTCATTTGACCGAACACTGAAAAATGACAAGTGTTAGTATATTAAACTATTTTACTTTGTATATGTCTAGTAATTAGAGCTCTTCATAATGAGAAACTCAAATTAAACAAAGTCGGTGAATTAGACAAAAATTGTTACTAAAGGCTTCTGAAATGGACAGCATTAAACAATCTAGTCATTTATGCGATGAGAGTTGATTAGAAGTCTTCTGGGTAACAAAAAATGTTTTAAACGTTTGCAAATACGAGTACGAGTGTCAAAAATAAAAAATGTTTAATAATGTTATTTTACAACTATGCTGTTAACTACAGCCTCAATTTAAGATGAACAATACAGTTCTGAATTCTGCACTATAAAACTATCTGCTTTTGATAATTAAAGCCACCTCTGGGAACTATGACCTACCAGAGTACAAACATTAAACCGTACGTTAAGAGTATATTTAGAGGGAGATTTACCAAGTCTGAAGAAAGCCTAGCCTCCCCCAACCGAATTTGAACACAAATGTCTGTAAAGTTCTACTTAGGTCTAAAAACTAAATAGCTAGATTGGCTTTTATTAGGTAGACATTGTAATTGTTAAACCCATGTGGTACAGATTTTAGATGGTACATAACGTGGGGCAACTAGACAGATCCTTTTTTCCTTTCCTTAGGAAGAGACTTTCGAAAAAACTAACAAAAAGTATTTAAGTGTTAATAGGTAACCGAGATGAGGGTACCATCTCGAGATGATTTCGGGGTTTTAGTGTCCCCGCGGCCCGGTTCTCGGCCAGGCCTCCACCCCCAGGAAGCAGCCCGTGACAGCTGACTAACACCCAGGTACCTATTTTACCGCTAGGTAACCGGGGCATCGGGTGAAAGAAACTCTGCTCATTGTTTCTCTCCGGCGCCCGGGATCGAACCCGGGACTACAGGATCACAAGTCCAGTGTGCTGTCCGCTCGGCCGACCAGCATGTGGTCGACCCGGTACCCCAGTTCACTCCTATACACACCCTTCCCATACAAGCTCTAAACACCCTTTTTCCACTCTTCCCTGGAAAGAATTCCTCTACTGTATCAAATTTTACCCCTGGGAAACTCACCCGTTTTACAAATGTTACGTAGACAAACATTTGCACAAGAGATTCAGCCACATCGTATGGTTGAATATTCACATCCAGACATCGTAAAGAAAGGGGTATTTGGCCCATACCCGCCTACCCCTTCGTATAGGCCACTTAACCGACCTCTACTTCCCTATGACTCCCGATAAAATAATTTATCATACGAAGTTTAAATGTGGCTAGTGCTAAGCATCTGGCCTCCAACAAACATAAGATATACCTACGCAATAAGCCTTATACACAACCATTAACGAACAAACTAGGGAAAAGTGACTCAATTGTTATGGTTACGAAATAGTGATGCTAACGCAAAGCAACAGAGCAAAGTGATTAGATAATATAGGCGCAATAAGATAGAAAGTATACAGTTTTTCTACACCGAAATATTCGTTATGAAGTATTGTCACAAACAAATGATAGAGATAAAACTACAAGATTGCGTACCGTCGTCATCATCGTTGTCAGGAGTCGAGGGCCGTTCACGGCGGGGCGCGAAAGGGAACAGATGCCCATATTCGGAAACTGGGAGATAAATTTTACGATCAAGGTCAAGCGGTGGCGGAGGCGTAAACAATCCAGCGAATATGTCGCTGTAGTAGGCGGGTTCTCTGCGGGAGGCAGAGTCGCCCCGGTCGCTGCGGGAGGCAGAGTCGCCCCGGTCGCCGAGGGAGGCAGAGTCGCCCCGGTCGCTGAGGGAGGCAGAGTCGCCCCGGTCGCTGAGGGAGGCAGAGTCGCCCCGGTCGCTGAGGGAGGCAGAGTCGCCCCGGTCGCTGAGGGAGGCAGAGTCGCCCCGGTCGCCGAGGGAGGCAGAGTCGCCCCGGTCGCCGAGGGAGGCAGAGTCGCCCCGGTCGCCGAGGGAGGCAGAGTCGCCCCGGTCGCCGAGGGAGGCAGAGTCGCCCCGGTCGCCGAGGGAGGCAGAGTCGCCTTTGTCTTGTGACGGTGTAGACAACACTGATTCGTCATCTGTTTAGAGAGCCAAAAGAAACCACTCTTAAACTTTAAATGGCGAAAAGTTTAGTTACGCAAGTTAGAACTATTTGCAAATGCAATTCAGCGAATATAAAGATAAATATTTACCTTTCACTGTAGTTACAGGTGTAGGGTCCATGAATATAAAAGGTTGCAGTAACCAAACTGTTACGCCGTCGTTTGGTCGTCCCGAAGGAATGAGCGTCTGTGAGTGCTAACAACTCTTACCCCCAGACAGAACGACTGCGCCTGAAATCTTCAGATACTTTAATCATTATCACGCTATCTTCCGAGCTGCGCAGGGAGGAGTTAAAAAAAAGTTATCAATGTCTGAAAAAAAAAAAAATTTAGAAGATTTCAGCCTTGTGCCGTTGTCTAGCCATGATTAATGGCTCGGTCCTCAAAGCCTGAACAATTTCACCGTTAACCACATGCAACTGATGAGCAACAAATCACCCGCTTACCCAAGAAATTCATTCTTGGGCTTCACTTCAAACTTTTAAGTCTTAATCCTTATCTAGACAACAGTCTAGCTGTGCCGGCACGCGTCAGACCGAGGCAAGTCAGACTGTAGCAAACACTATGGTCAACTACTGCCACACCAGTACTTTACCATTAACAGCACGAGAACACTAATGAAAATAGCTGCAAATATTCTTTGAATGCTTGTCTTATTGGCATGCAACCAATATATAGGCGATATAAATACTGCCAGCAAGTTTCCCCAAGAGGACAATTTAAGTCTAGTTCAAGCAGCAAATAGCGATTCGCCGTTTAATTAAATTCAGAGTTGTTGGGGAAGGTCGGGGGAGGGAAAGAGAGGGTTTAGGCGTTTGATAATAAATAAATAATAGCAATGAGGAATATCCTACGGGTGCGTTATACAAATACGATTGATTCAAGAATCAAGCTATATGCTTAATTGCCCGCTTTATTCCAAGCGAATTTGAACACGTTTGAAATACAAAAAGTATAAGTCATACCAAGTCCATTTTGCATGAACAAAAAGATTCAGACTATAGCAAAGCAGGTTGTGGGATTGGGAAATTACTTTCAGATGTTTAAAACAAATGGGCGGACATATTTTACGTTAATTAAACGAGTGGCGATCCAACGTAGGATTTAAGTTAACCAATTACATTTCAAAAATTTAATTCAAAATTAAAAACTTACGGTAAGTAATTACTCTAATTGGTAACATTGATGAAATTTTTTGACCACACGAAGCTATAAATATTCAAGAAGTTACAAGTCAAACCAATTAAAGTAAAGCTATTAGAAAAAGCAAAGTAAAACTTTCAGGCCTGATCCCACCTCACATTACAGTGTAGATAATGAAATCTGAACATTTAGTGTCGCAAGACTATGAAATTTATTTCCATTAAAAGCATTTGACGGAAATTTGAAGAACTTTAAAGTCTTTATCTGCCCATCTACACGAGCGTACCAGAATCAGAATTACGAGCTATTTTTTAATGTTGTAATTATTCAATTATTCATATCATTTATTAATCTTTAACAGATCAGAAAATGATTGGCCCATTGCGGGAAACTAATGTATCTGCATTATCAGATCTCAGAATACTGTGTAGGAACCAGAAACCCATCATGGTCAAGTCCGTGGAAAATATATTTGGTCCGTGTGCCTCTGGCATGTTTCGAGGGAGAGGGCGTCCTCCATTTGTTAATATACACAGGCTTTTTTTTGGGGTGGCGACTAGTAAATTGGCCGATGACAACAGTTTAGAGTCTAGAGGGTTAAACTAGACGATTCCGTCACTAGATCTTAACAGATTCATTTCTACGTTCATAACTAATAAAACTGTGGCACTAACTATATTAGGGATGTCTGATCAAGACTACAGACTTGCATACCGACAATCTTACCAAATCAATTTTTTATAACTTAAGAATATGAAACGTCAAATGGCATCCGATTATTATAGTCCTTCCCACTTTTCCTCGAAACTACACCATTCAGTTCCGATTACCAAAAATACAGAAAAAAAACTAGTGGGGGAGAGGGGAATGCACAATAGCTTCAATTACTCTTTTCCTTCCAGACGACCGTATGGTAGAATGATGTGCTTGCATCTTCGTGCATTTCCCTAGTCAGTAGTTCAACGACCACAATGGTGTAGGTCAGAGTGGCCTCACTACTGCTAGTAATCATTTTTCGACCAGGAAAAAGACAATTTAAGCAACCTATTTGGCATTTAGTTAAGCGACAAGTTGCTACCGATCCTGACTATGCTTTTATAGTCAACATAAACAAGCTTTGTCTAGCTCAAATTCATTTTTACGACTTCTGCCAGTTATCGTTCAAGCTTTATTTACCATTTTGTTCAGTATATTGCAAGTCACGGTAGTACATCACCAAGTCATTGCAAGCTATATCTTGGGTCCTTAGGAACTGTTTCTACTCGTCACAAGTATGTACATGTGAAGTATGAAAAAGCAAAGGTCGAGTGCAGAGTAATGCAGTGTACCGTTGACATGCACAAGCTTTCATACTTTAGTAACGTTCAACAAATTTAAGAAATGCCTCACCCCCCCCCCCCAAATGTGCGTATGCGATTAGACTTAACTAGCCTCTCCAAGAAGGAGAGAGATCTTGCTAAGGTTCATATAAATTACCCACAGATATTGTTAGTCTTCTGCAAATACAAGAAGTCAAAATCTCTATTACCGGTCCTTTGCCTAGCCGTTTAAAGCTTAAAAACTTATACCTTATTACGGTAAAAAAAAAAAAAAAAAAAAAAAAAAAAAAAAAAAAAAAAAAAAAAAAGGGGGGGGGGGACTAATGTTTGAAAGGCTTAAGCTTGCCAAGCTATATAGTGTTCAAGTGTAAATTAACTTTACGAAATGAAAGTTTCGTACACCCTTCTTAAACCCTCCCCTCTGTACACTTCTTTACTGCAAAAGGTTTGGCGTCGGACTTCAGGCCTAACCAACCCCAAGGGGTTCTAAGGCCATTACAAAATATATTACCGACGACCCAGCAGGTATGCTTCAGTCCCGAATCGTGTTCACAACTATACCCAGCTTTGTATACACACAAGCTGGGTATGCTTCTATTTATATCCCTGGGGAAAAAAATAAAATAAATGACTAATTATTACAATTAATACACAATGGTTTGGTGGTTTCCTTAATTAGTTCAACAATAAGACAATCATACAAACCAGCACAGCACTTTCCCAACTGCAAAACAAATTCAAACATTCAATAAGAAAATAAACATTAAGTTGGAATAAAAATTTTAAATTTAATAACAAAACTGCTAAAAAAAACTATAAAAACTACAACCTGTAGAGCACCCGTCCCCGTCGGCCTGGATTCGCAGTTGAACTGAAGACATAGACCCTTGAACGACTGAACATCAACTAGACAATGCGATTCACAATAATTGAGCAATTAATAAGTTGAAAAAAACTCTAATTAAACCCATTCAAATAATATACATTTTTACAATAACTAATACGTTAATAAAAAAATCGTTTAATTATGTTAAATAATTTAACAAATTAAATGTAAGGAAATCGAGAATGACAAAAAACAGAAAACGCACGTAATAAAAGGGCAGACAAATCTAAAGTACTTTATTTTAAGATAAGGAAACAATCGAAAACCCAAATTATAAACACACACACACACACACACACATATATATATATATATATATATATATATATATATATATATATATATATATATATATATATATATATATATATATATATATATATATATATATATATATATATATATATAATATATATATATATATATATATATATATATATATATATATATATATATATATATATATATATATATATATATATATATATATATATATATATATATATATATATATATATATATATATATATATATATATATATATATATATATATATATATATATATATATATATATATATATATATATATATATATATATATATATATATATATATATATATATATATATATATATATATATATATAACTAGTGGGGGGGGAGAGAAGCACAATAGTACAAATTATTCTCTTCCTTCCAGACGACCGTATGGTAGAATGACGTATATAGACATATATTGTACGTAGTAGCCAGAACGCCATACTTAGCCTTCTATGCAAGGCCCAATTTGCCTAATAAGCCAAGTTTTCCTGAATTTATATATTTTTCTATTTTTTTTCTTATGAAATGATAAATCTGTCCATTTCATTACGTATAAGTTAAGTTGTTTAAATTTGAGTTAAAACTAACGAAGATATATGACCGAACCTAACCAACCCTACCTAACCCAACCTAACCTATCTTAACCTAGTCTAAACTAACACAACTAAGTCAATAAATTATGGTCTTAATATAATATAATAGTAATAATTCAAATAAACTAATTGGAAACAATTTATTGAAAATAAAGAAAATCACTCGACCTATTAGGCAAATCGGGCCCTGCATAGTAGGCTAAGAAGTGCGTTCTGGCTACTAGGTACGATATTATGTTATATATATATATATATATATATGTCGTACCTAGTAGCCAGAACTCACTTCTCAGCCTACTATTCAAGGCCCGATTTGCCTAATAAGCCAAGTTTTCCTGAATTAATATATTTACTATATTTTTTTTCTTATGAAATTATAAAGCAACCCTTTTCTCTATGTATGAGGTCAATTTTCTTTTATTGGAGTTAAAATTAACGTAGATATATGACCGAACCTAACCAACCCTACCTAACCTATATTTATAGGTAAGGTTAGGTTAGGTAGCCAAAAAAAGCTAGGTTAGGTTAGGTTAGGTAGGTTAGGTAGACGAAAAAACATTAATTCATGAAAACTTGGCTTATTAGGCAAATCGGGCCTTGAATAGTAGGCTGAGAAGTGCGTTCTGGCTATTAGGTACGACATATATATATATATATATATATATATATATATATATATATATATATATATATATATATATATATATATATATATATATATATATATATATATATATATATATATATATATATATATTCCTACCACCCCCTTCCTTTTTTGTGCTTTATTATGTATTTGATGGTTACAAGATATACATGTATATATATATATACATTATAAACACATACAACGGATTATTTTTAGTTTAATATTAAAGCTTTCCAAGACTCTAAATTCTAAAGTGAATTTCTAAATTCACTTAGATTAGATATATAAGTTACTTTCTTCCCCCACTTGGCACCTTCTTTTGATAATTACTTACTCTAGATAAGATCATAAACTTTTACAAATGCTCAGAACTTTCTAAATGACTCTTAGTTAGGAATGTGATGGTTTGGCAAGTTTAGAGGAATGTCTGCTGGGCAGCCCTTGTGTTCACAGATACTAGTGTAAACAGTTCGAAAAAAAGTTCCAATATATCTTATCATACAATCAGAACAGGATAAAATACATCTATTCGTACAAGTATATTATTATGCAATATTATAACTGGAGTCCGATTATTTATATACAACATTACCATCAGAACAAGTATATTCAATGGATATATCCTTCTTCTTGAAGTATATGGACAGACTTTATTTTAGTTCTTAACTATGTTCCTGGCTTAAGTATACTTGATGGTTAGTTAGTAAGCTGGCGTCTTACCCCTAGTAACCCTCGAGCTGTTGATAGGTTTTAAGCCCAGCATCACACCAAACCATCTTCTTGATGCTCATTGGGATATTGTGGTGCGCTTAATAACCCTCCCCCCCCTGCCGGATGATAAACCATAAACCCAAAATCAATCCAACTGGCACATATCTGCCTTATCTCTTACTCATACTCAATCAAACTCTCTCGAATGTATGTATAACCTAAGCTTTAAAAACTTCAGCTTCCCTATGTCTATTACATTTCCTGACTACAAGTTTGTTGGATTTAGAGTCTTATTTCAAGCCCAGAACCTATAGAGGTTCTATATGGTTATAAACATATCCAATTTTACATTTAGGAAAATGAGAGTGGCGTGGGGGGAGTGTTGTCCACTCTGGTGTTCGCTGTGATATAGGATCAGAAGAGAGTAGGAAGCATAAATCTGATACTCTTAGTATAGCTCGTTTTATCGCCTTCTGTTGTCGTATTGGAGGCATTTTGAATATCCAGCGACACAAGACATAGTCCTCTCGGTTTTGTTGCCTTCTTCTGATAATTACTTATTTTCTTCGGGAAAAATGTTAAATTGCTGATTTATTTCATAGGAGCGTTGGCAATGGGAAAATTAATCATGCAACTTTCTATAACGTTGATTATGCTCTGTGGAAACAGTGATGTTGGGGTAGGGTGATAGTGAATGGTGTCAGGAGATGACAGTGATGGTGGTGGGGTCTTATGATGGTGGTGGTAAGGTTCGGTGATGGTGGTGTTTGATGATGGTGCTGGTAGTGACTCTTGGTGTTTGTAATTGGACCTCGTTTTATTTATATTTTTCTTCTATTTAAAAACCGGTACAGCAAGATATTCTTGGTTGACATATTTTTTATAATTATATATATTTAATTATTCGGAATTAGCGCTATTAAAGATAAGAGTGAGAACTGTGGACCCCATGGCTGAGGCTCAGGGGAAGGAGGGAAGGAGGGAAGGAGGGGTGGGGGGGAGTAATGGGAGAATGGTGATATGAAAGAGGAAGGGGGAGATAATGAAGGGGTGGCTATAGAGGGGGGGTGGGGATGGGGATAGAGTTAAAAGGACGGGGTAAAGAAATGGAGAGCAAATGTAACAGGAGAGAAGTGGGTAAGAGGAATAAAAATACAGAGAGAGAGAGAAGGAAGGAGTGTGTAAGAGTTGTAAGAGACACGGAGGGAGGTAGATAGAAGGGACGGAATAGAGGTTGGTAGGGAGTGAGGAAGGTTGAGAGAAAGAGGAAGGTTGAGAGAGAGAGGAGGGTTGGGAGAGAGGAGGGTTGGGAGAGAGGAGGGTTGGGAGAGAGGAGGGTTGGGAGAGAGGAGGGTTGGGAGAGAGGAAGGTTGGGAGAGAGGAGGGTTGGGAGAGAGGAGGGTTGGGCGAGAGGAAGGTTGGTAGAGAGGAAGGTTGGTAGAGAGGAAGGTTGGGAGAGAGGATGGTTGGGAGAGAGGAAGGTTGGTAGAGAGGAGGGTTGGGAGAGAGGAGGGAGCTACAAAACCCATCGCGTGTGATATCTTGCACCTGTTATCGAGGGTTTGTTGATTGACTTAAAAGTTCCATACAACAGCTGAATAAGATCACAGGAAACACAAGGTCAGTGCCTCTTAACCCGCGAAACACACGACGAAACTACGACGTTGGTACAACGTTCGAACAAGTTGCAAGACCTCCTAGCAAGTTGTAACAACGTTCTAATACGTCAGAAAAACGTTATAACGAGATATAACAACTTTATTTCAAGTTGTAATACGCTGAAAATAGGGACAGTTACTTTGCGTGTTTGCAGGGGTTAATCCATACCATATGGGTACACTGATGTTGATTTATTTGCTTTCGTGAACCTGTTTTGATATATACGAAAGGGTGCATTTATTTATTTCCTGTCAGCAATAGTAGGGTCTCTACCACAACACCATCAGTAGCAAACACCGTCTCTACCACAACACCATCAGTAGCAAACACCGTCTCTACCACAACAGTAGGATAACACCGTCTCTACCACAACAGTAGGATAACACCGTCTCTACCACAACAGTAGGATAACACCGTCTCTACCACAACAGTAGGATAACACCGTCTCTACCACAACAGTAGGATAACACCGTCTCTACCACAACAGTAGGATAACACCGTCTCTACCACAACAGTAGGATAACACCGTCTCTACCACAACAGTAGGATAACACCGTCTCTACCACAACAGTAGGATAACACCGTCTCTACCACAACAGTAGGATAACACCGTCTTTACCACAACAGTAGGATAACACCGTCTCTACCACAACAGTAGGATAACACCGTCTCTACCACAACAGTAGGATAACACCGTCTCTACCACAAGAACGACAGTAGGACCACCATTTCTAACCACAACAACATAAAGCTACACCGTATGTTCCACAACATACGGTGTAGCTTCCACAACAGTTCCACAATGTTCAACAAGTTTATGTTCCACAACAGTATCAACAAGCCCAGAAACTAGACAATTTTATTCGTGTGACTGATTCTCACGATAACTCTGAGAAGCACCAGGTGATCCGACCGTTATTAGTACCCCCTCGTTTCATCATTTTGTTTTTCTCTCCACCCCCCCCCCTCTCCCTCCTTATCATCCTCCCCCTCAACGCTGGTGTATATAATGGCCAGAGAGTAACACACACACGTCAGACGACATCATCGTCAACACAAAACTGCAACAGGAGGAAAAAAACTTACAGCAAGATGAATGTGGAAGCTTTTCTTCTGTTGTTAGGTAAGGCTGTTTTCAGTTACTCTTTTTTTCAGATTACTTTCCGCATCTTTAAATTTGTAACGAATGTGTGAGTAAACTATGTAAACTACCACTGTGAAGTGTACAAGGCAGGTATTCAACTGAAAACCATGTAGCTAATTATGTATCTTTGTTCATAGGTTCCGTCTTGGTCTATGGCGATTCTCCAATAAACAAGGCCAGATATCCTGCTGCGGATATAAGTAAGTTGAACACACACACACACACACACACACACACACACACACACACACACACACACACACACACAAACACACACACACACACACACACACACACACACACACACACACACACACACACACACACACACACACACACACACAACACACAACTTGTCCCCAGAGGCCCACATCAAAAGGATATCATTAGCGGCATATACTAGATAGATTTGCCAACAAAGAACTACCTTTAGAAACTTGTGTAAGGAATCGTTCAAGACTTTGTATACCACTTATGTCAGACTAATCCTGGAATATGCAGCTCCAGCCTGGAGTTCATACCTAGTTAAACACATGACAAAGTTAGGGAAGATACAGAGGAATGCCACCATACTAATCCCAGAACTGAGAGGTATGAGCTACTAAGGGGTGTGACGGCTGAGTGGACAGAGCTCAGTATTCGTAGTCCTAAGGTTCCGGGTTCGATCCCCGGCGGAGGCGGAAACACATGGACAGAGTTTCTTTCACCCTGATGCTCTGTTCACCTAACAGTAAATAGGTACCTGGAAGTTAGACAGCTGCTTCCTGGGGGGTGTGTAATAAAAAGGAGGCCTGGTCGAGGACCGGGCCGCGGGGACGAAATCATCTCAAGATAAACTCAAGATAAAGTTACGAGGAAAGGTTACGGGAGCTAAACCTCACGTCCATGGAAGACAGAGAAGTACGGAAGAGATGATAACCACCTACCTTGAGGTGCTTCCGGGGCTTAGTGTCCCCGCGGCCCGGTCGTCGACCAGGCCTCCTGGTTGCTGGACTGATCAACCAGGATGTTAGACGCGGCTGCTCGCAGCCTGACGTATGAGTCACAGCCTGGTTGATCAGGTACCACCAATAACATTTTCAGAGGAACTGACAGGTGTTCAAAGTCAAACTATTTAGCACGGGTGGAACACGAACAAGGGGACACAGGTGGAAACTTAGTACCCAAATGAGCCACCAAGACATTAGAAAAAATGTTTTCAGTGTCAGATTAGTTAATAAATAGACTGCGTTAGGCAGTGATGTGGTGCAAGCAGCCTCTATAAACTGCCTATATCCTCCATATAGGCAGTTTCAAATGTATATATGATAGAGCCCAGTAGGCTTCAGAATCTGTACACCAGTTGAGTAACAGTTGAGAGGCTGGACCAAAGAGCCAAAGCTCGACACCCGTAAGCACAACTTGGTGAGTACACACACACATCGGTAGTCTCAGGAGGGATTCAGACAGGGAAATTACTCGTTTAGTTTAAGAAAATGGGATAAACTAGGAGAAGAAGATTTAGGTGCCAACTAATTAAAGAATAGGAAAAGTGGATAGGATTAACGACGAGCGAGTCAGTAAGTAAATAATTATCAGGATTAAGGACAAAGTAAATATGGCTATGTAGCACTTGAAAGTGATGTGAGGACAAGGAGCTGGGACCTGAGGATCGAGTGAAGGAACATGGCCAAACCACAAAAGGGAAAGTAAGAAATCATAGAATTAATTACAACTGATACTAAAATACTTCTCCCGTTACAACCTCATATACTTATTAATGATCGATTTGAAATATTTATATTCATTCACATATAATACCCCACTCCCCACGAGTAAAGTATAATATTATATTATATTAATTCACCTCAAACAGTCCATTACTTCACAAAAAGTATGTAGAATAAAGTCGGTGGCTGCAATAGACCATTTCCACTTGCCCTGACATTATTAGCCTTGCGAAAAAATAATAACATTGCTCTGCAACCCATATTTTTGGTGTCATGATTTCTTTTGAATTCCAGCCTGCCCTTTGCCGTACAAAGCAGTTGGAGGTCGCTGCATTCTGTTCGCGGTGGCCGAGGCTGGCGCCTGGCACGACATGGGATACTTCTGCGAGACACTCGGGGGCAAACTGGTCGTTATTGACGACTCCACCTTCATGGAGGCTCTTACGGACTACATCTTGGATGGTGGTGAGTTGCTTCTGCTTGAACTGTCGTGTTTGGAGGCGTCTCATACTAGCCTATCACAAGTAGCGAATGATTTTAGATCATGAATGAAGCTTGACTGTTGTTTTGTGCCCATACATCAACTGCCTGTACCAATATTCTGGGTTCATATTCTTGAAGAAAAGACTATTGTGCAAAATTGTATTTTCAATAATCTTCTATATAAATACAAATGTATATGTTCGTTTTGTTCAAAACCGCAAATCTCCGAAAGTTCTTCGCCGATTGCTTTTAAATTTTGACACAAAGTTCCATTCAAATACGCGCGTGTCTTCATATACCTACTATATAGATGTCACGTCTGTGACAGTTAAAAACATGCTTTTTTGAAAAACAGCGCCATCTGTTGGACGGAAAAGCAACATATGCTATACTAAATATTTTACGATTCCTTTTCAATGTTTCCGATTGCATTGTTAAATTGAATTTGTATAGATTTCGATTCATTTTCATTTTGATTTAATTATTTCGTGTGACATTGCGTTGGAATTGAGCTGTGTCGTTTACCATACCGTTCATTTCGTGAATATAATTTAGTTTGTTATTTTTTAATTGTTTTTCATCTCGTTTTTTAACTGTTCTTGTTATTTTTCAGTGATGGGAACATCAGATCATATGATGTTCCCATTTTTCTGGTGGGAACATCAGAATATTTGGGAACGCATCGGACGGGGAATGGGGAATAGTGGGGAGGACGAGGGGACGTGGGAGTGAGGGATGATGGGGAGGACGAGGGGACTGGGAGGGGGAAAATGGTGGGAGGACGAGGGGATAGGGAGAGAGGGATGGTGTGGGAGGACAATGGGACGGGGTAGTGGGGGAATGATGGGGAGGACGAGGGGGAATGGTGAGGAGGATGAGGGGACGAATGAGGGGGTAATTATGGGAAGAACGGTGGGGTGGGAACAGAGGAGGGTTACTGTGGCTCACCAACGCCCACACGATGCTCAGCCACAGCAACGCTTGGCCGGGTACAGCTAGTTAAAAAATAAAAATACTTACGCACTGAAATACATTTGCACCCTAACACTCGGTCTGTTGCAGAGTTCTCAACCACGGAATTCTGGATTGGAGCGACGGACGAGGTGACGGAAGGGGTGTGGAAGTGGGTCAATGGGAAGACGGTGAGGATGCGCATGCCTCTCTGGCTCACGTGTTCGGACGACCAGGAACCCAACGGTGGCAGCGCCGAGAACTGCTTGGCCATCACGGGCGACCATAACTACTACTTCGTCGACGCCGATTGCGCTCTAGAAATGAATCCCATTTGTGAATACACAGTACTTTAGATTTTATTTTTTAGAAAATAATGTATACAATATGGATTTCATGCCTGGTATATAATATACAACAACTTGGATATATGCCTTGAATATAATAGAAGTTGATTTACATCCCGCCTTTCATTTTCATTTTAAAACTGAATTTTTTTTTACCTATTACTATATGGCAACTTCCCCTGCCATACACGTTGAACTGAACGATTAAGCATAATTATTGTGTTTGTTTGCTGCATCATACCATTAATTACACACAGAAATCACAATAGCGTGATGCATCAAATGAACGCATCCACAAGGGCCGTGACGAACCATCGTCACGGCCCTTGTGGATTTTGTTCATAACATTAATGTTTATAAATATCACAATATTATTAAATTTGAATGATTGCTTAAGAGACAATATAATATTCGTTTAATCCGATTTAAGTTTAGAAGTACTATAGAATAATCGGTGTATTAATGTCAGGTGAGATTAATAAGTTAATTTTAGTACCAGATATCTAAAATATATATTGAAAATAGTGAACTGAATATGTATATGAATGAAAAGAAATGTAAAAAATTTATATTTTTTAATGGAATTCAGGAACACACATATATGAATATATATATATATATATATATATATATATATATATATATATATATATATATATATATATATATATATATATATATATATAAAAAAGGGAAGGGGGTGGTAGGAGAAAAGCACACAGAAACTGTATTGGAGGGGACCCACATTCCCTCCAATGCGTTATGTGTGGTTTCCTCCGAGGCTATGGGTCCCCCTTCTTCCAGCCAGAGGTGGTACTCATTGTTATATATATATATATATATATATATATATATATATATATATATATATATATATATATATATATATATATATATATATATATATATATATATGTGTATATATATATGTATATATATATATATATATATATATATATATATATATATATATATATATATATATATATATTCCTTAGCCCAGTTGATACCACTGGACTACACTAGTATACCCATCCTTTCACATAAGTATATGTTCATCAGGGTTGACCAGGCATGTGTTTGACATTTGTTTCTGGCGACAGTGTTTTTACATGTTTGTCTCATTGGTAGGCCTTGCCATGATCAGGGTAAAGGCACTGTTGATCTTAACTGAGATCAGCTGGATCAGGGTAAAACCCTTTGTCTATCTTGACTGATCTTAGTTGTGTCAGGGCTAAAACTTTGTTGATCATGAATGAGATCAACAGCTGAATCGGGGGCAAAACTTTGTTTACCTTGACAGATATCACTTGGGTCACGGCTAAAACTTTTGACCGAGATCGGTCAAAACATTAAAACCGTCATAAATTTCAGGCTCTCCCTTGATACACTGTCAATTTTTTATTTTCGGAGACAAATATGCCATAAGCTTTGACTCTGCTGCAGATTGTATTCACTGCGGTTGTGAGAGATTACTTTTAGTCAATCTGAATAAATCCCCGCTTCTGATTGGTCACTTATGGGCAGGCGTAGTTTTCAGATTTTTTTTTTTAACATCTATAGAGAAAGGTCATTGTTCAAGAAGGTCAAGAGGATCAGAGTACAATCGCTGGATAAAATCATTCACCTACAATCCTAGATGTAGCCTTTAAGGCTTTTTTGTCGGAAAACTTAAATTAATTTCACCAAGTACCGGCCTCTGAGTAGCCTTTCATCTTTCAAAAAAATGTATTTACATCATAAAAATGAAAAGTAAATGTGTTTGTTTTCTTCGAAAGAGAAATTCACGGTTGCTTTCACTAACTTTGGGTGAATATAGTGCCACGGTTTGCCACGCCCGCTCTGCGTCAATGGTGCCATGGTCTGCGGTAAGATGCCATGGTCTGCGTCAACAGTGTCTTCGTCTACATCAATATTCCAATCGTATGCGTCAATGTTGCCATCGTCTGCGTCAAGCTGCCATCATCGGGGTCAATGGTACCTTCATTTGGATTAATGGTGCCATTATCTATATCAATGGTACAACCATCTGTGTCAATGGTGCCATCGTCTGAGCCAACGATGCCATGGTCTACGTCAATAGTGCCATCTTCTGCATCAATTTTTTTCCCCGTCTTCATCAATGGTGCTACTATCTGCGTCAATGGTGCCTTTACCTACATAATTTTTTTCCCCGTCTGCTTCAATGGAGCCAGTGTCTGCGTCAATGTTGCCGTCGTCTGCGTCAATGTTGCCAGGGTCAGCTTCACTCGCTCTTCTGTTTATTTACTTCCTGCACGCTCTCTGCACTCTGGATTCAGCAGCTTAGTAAATATTTACACATGAAGCGCAAATCACGATACTCAAATTTTGGGGGGTACAAGGTGCGTGTGTGTTTGTGTGTACTCACCCCAGTTGTGCTTGCGGGGGTTGAGCTTTGGCTCTTTGGTCCCGACTCTCAACTGTCAATTAACTGGTGTACAGATTCCTGAGCCTACTGGGCTCTCATATCTACATTTGAAACTGTGTATGGCGTCTGCCTCTAACACATCACTGCCTAATGCATTCCATTTGTTAACTACTCTGACACTGAAAAAGTTCTTTCTAATGTCCCTGTGGCTCATTTGCGTACTCTGCTTCCACCTGTGTCCCCTTGTTTCTTGTTCCACCCGTGGTAAAGTTTTTGTCTTTGTCCTCCCTGTCAATTCCCCTGAGAATTTTGTAAGTGGCTATCATGTCTCCCCTTACTCTTCTGTCTTCCAGGGACGTGGGTTTCAGCTCCTTTAGCCTTTCCTCGTAGCTCATACTTCTCAGTACCGGGGACGAGTCTGGTGGCATAACGCTGAATCTTCTCTAGCTTTGTCTTGCACACATCTCGTGTGTGTGTGTGTGTGTGTGTGTGTGTGTGTGTGTGTGTGTGTGTGTGTGTGTGTGTGTGTGTGTGTGTGTGTGTGTGTGTGTGTGTGTGTGTGTAAGAGAGAGAGAGAGACTGCGTGAAGCGCTCTCTTTCCTGTGATAAAAAAGGCAGCTTCCAGTTGGTCGAGGATTCACCTGTCACCAGTGGTCAAGAAATGCTCCTGACAGATCATGGTACAGCATTATCCCATCTAGTTAAAAATAGAAATCTGTTATGAAATCTCCACCGCTGCTATGCGGTGGAGCTCCTCTGCTACGTAGTGGAGGCTTACTGCATGGGCGTGGAGCAGCGCCGATGGTCCGTGGAGCAGCGCCGATGGTCCGTGGAGCAGCGCCGATGGGCCGTGGAGCAGCGCCGATGGGCCGTGGAGCAATCCTAATGGGCAGTAGAGCAGCCCTGATGGGCCGTAGAGCAGCCCCGAAGGGTCGTGAAGCAGCCCCGGTGAGCGGTAGAGCAGCCCCGCTCGGCCATGGAACAAATCCCCTCGGCCGTAGAGTCTCGATTCTGGAGCCATCAAAAATGGACTTACGGACTGCAAAGCCGTATTGATGGACCACAGAGCCATAATTACAGATCGTGGGGCCGCGCTGTTCGGCGGCAGAGCCGCGTTGCTTAGGAGTGGAACTGGTCTGCTTGGTGGTCGAGCCAATCTGCTCGGCAGGTTTTCCTCTTGTTTTCGTCTTGTTATCGCCATGCTTTACCCAGGCGTCGCCATGAGTGACTCAGGCGTTGCCATGCTTGACCCAGAAGTCGCCATGCTTGACCCAGGAGTCGCCATGCTTGACCCAGGCGTCGCCATGCTTCACCCAGGCGTCGCCATGCTTCACCCAGGAGTCGCAATGCTTGACACTGTTCAAAAAAAGATTGAATATTAACTTTACATTGACTTAACTGTACGTGTTTGCATCGTTCTCGTCTCTGGGTGGTTGTGGTGGTGTGATAAATAGTTTGGGTGGTTGAGGTGGATATTTTGGTGGAAGATACGAGAGGAATAACGGTTGGCACAGTAGTTGTGAAGGTAAGGAGGGTTATCACGAAAGAAGTAGTGGTTGAAGTGACATGGTTGTTATCTGTTGTGGTAGTAGAAATAGCAGTAGCTGTAGGAGCGACGTTTTGGGGGTTCTGGTAGATATGGTAGTTATGGTGGTAATGGTAGAAATAGTTGTAGGGATTGATATGCGTGGCAGCATCGTGGATACCGGGAGATAAGCTGCCCCGACACAGTGCAACGTTTGGCGGGATGCTGGAGATTGGATTTTCTTTAGCAAACATCTCCCCTCAGAAGGTGTTGGTCTGAGGAGGTAGCAGGCGGGGGATTCGAGGAGACGAGCCCACGTGAAGGATAAAAGGGACACCGTTATCGAGATTGGCTGCACGTTTCTGCTTCAGCGTCTCCCCACACGATGTGTTGGTTGATAGGCCGGGACACACATACGCGCGCGCACACACACAAGCACACGAGCGTACACACACACACATAAACACACATACACACACACACACACACACACACACACACACACGTACACACACACACGTACACACACACACACGTACACACACACACACGTACACACACACACACACATACATATATATACATATACATATATATATATATATATATATATATATATATATATATATATATATATATAGTACCACCTCTGGCTGGAAGAAGGGGACCCATAGCCTCGGAGGAAACCACACATAACGCATTGGAGGGAATGTAGGTCCCCTCCAATACAGTTTCTGTGTGCTTTTCTCCTACCACCCCCTTCCCTTTTTTTTTTTTTTCCTTTATTGTGTATTTAAAGGTTACAAAACATACAAGACAAATGCCTAAAGGTTATGGATCTCTTGAAGCTCCTCCGCTTCTGGACAGGAACCGAGGACGCAGCAAGCATTTCCCCTCTGGATCGCCACACTGAGACGCTGAAATAAAAAACTGGAAGCCCTTGGGTCTCTGGTGACGTCAATGAGCCTGGAACCCAATTCCTTGAGAAATCCCAAGGCACTCTTGCCCCAGGGGCCATGCGTCTCAGACGCTATGGGAACAAAGAGGTATTGACCTTCCAGTCGCCTGTACTTGAGTGATTTTGCTGTTTCCCTGTGGTTGGCCGCCCCACCTGCTTGATCAGCTCCGAAGTGTACATAGGTGTCAGCCAGGGTGGATACACATGTGTAGTCCCACACCAACTGTCTACCCTCCTTGCAT